GGTAAGAAGAGGCAAATGGGGTGCTGGGGGCTCAGGGTGGCCAGTCCTTATGCCGGTTAGGGGGAGAATACCGTTAGCTGCCTGCATAAATGAAGTGCTCTAGAGCTGAGTTTCTCTTTCATTTCCTGCTTCCATTACCCTGGCAGGTAGCATCAGATTCCACAGTGAACCCAGTGTGAGGCTGCAGAAGGTAGGAGGTGGGCTGAGCTACACGGATACCACACAGACAAGTGGGATTTGCTCTCAGGCGGTGGAACCTCCACAGGCCAAGCTGCAGGGACCTCCCACCTTGGCTCAGCACTGCAGGCAAACCTGGCAGCAGTTTGCTCCCCTAGCACATGCCCAAGGCAAAGGGCCAGGAGAAGCAGGAAATAGGGCTGGCCATCTCTCTGGGGGCTGCTGAGGGGGAAAGGCACTTGCCCAGCCTTGGTGTCTGGGAGGGCCAGAGCTGCACAAAGATTCCTTGTCTTCTTGTCCTGGCACAGGCACCGACCTAGGAAGGCCTCAGCACCCTGTGGGCCAGACCACCCCCTCTCTGTGTTGACGGACTAACTCATGACTGCACTAGTTATGGCCAGAGAAAGGAAGCTTGTGGGTATGGGTATCTTTGTTGGGGGTAGAAATGGGATGAAGGGGCCTCCCCGGTGGCGCGGCGGTTGAGCGCTGGGTTGCGAAGCTGCCGGCGACCTCTGCGGCGCAGCGGTTCGATCCCCGGCTGCTCCCCGGCCACTGGAGGAGGGTCCCACATGGCGTGCAGACCTCTCCTGCCGCCCGCTGCTCCCCTCAGCAGTGTACCTCGGTCCTTCTGCCTGCTCTGCTCCCCGCTCTGGCTCTGGTGAATTCTCTCACCCTCCCGCGCTTCTGACTGTACCCAGTGCTTGTATAAACAAAACAAACAAACAAACAAATAAATAAATAAAAACATGCCTCTATAAAAAAAAAAAAAATGGGATGAAGGATGGGTGACCAACAAATTGGGATTTAGAAGGTTTTTTTTGTGCTTAAAAAATCTATCCCGTTTCTTGCTTGTAGTCCCCAATCCTCGAAGGAAGGGGAAATCCACTCCTTACAGGGAGTCAGTCTTTGCTCAGTCAAGTTCAGACAAGAACACCTTGTCCTCCTAGATGCCATTTGAGAGACATTTCAAATGAATCCCTTGCTTGATGTAAAGATTGAATAGTCTCTATGTAAGGAATTAGATGGCAGAGTCTATTCTAAATATGTATGTCATAGATTGATGGGCTTACTGAGAATACATTGATGTCAGCAGGAGATTTTGTTCTGGTTCTGTTTGGAGCTTGCAATCAAAAGCCTGTGAATGCTCATTACAGTCATAGGTTTTGGAGTCACGGGAATCTAGGTTTGATTCGTGATTCTACCACTTGTTAAGATAGTTAACAATCTATGTATGTAATTTCCTTATGCCTCAGTTTTCTGAGAAAATGGGATGGCAGCACTTACCTCTTGGGGGTTAAAGTGAGGATTAAATGAAAGATGGTGAGCAAGACTCTACACATAATGCCAAGCACAAAGTGGGCGTGTGTAATGGTTTTTGTTAACCTAGGAGCCGTTCTGCAGGATTCTTGCAGATTCAAAGGGTATAATGGGATCGCATTAGGAATCCCTGCCTCTGGCTTATGAGTGTTTTACATGACAGGATCCCAAGACAACACTAGTGACCCATTGAACGTTGTAATTTCGTAATATATTTATTTTCAGTTTCCTAGGAAATACTCTGTAATACCCAGAACATAAGCCAGGCAAACTCTTTAGCTGTGCAGATGTTGAAGTTTCACAAATGCTATAAATCCCTCTATTCTGTGTACATGTGCAAAGTATTATTGCTGTATTTTTAACAATGGCAAGAAAGCCCCTGAGTTTGCAAAGTGTTTACAGTATTTGTATATTGCTATGGATACTTTATCAAAGGCAGGCGCCAGTAACATGAACAGGACGTAGGGGTTTAGGGCAACGAACAATGGTGGAAACTATTTTCGCAGTTAATGCATCATTCTTGGGTAATATTTGTGAAATACTTGGGAGGTGATGTGTGCTGTTGAGAACATTACTTTGGATGTTTCACTCATTCCCACTGTAGGGAACTTGGTAAAAACCTGAGAAGTGAGATATCTAGGTCTGCCATCAAACTGGCTTTGGTGTGATATTGGTGGTTACCTTGCTCAGCTTCACCCAGTGTGAAATGCTGCGGGGTGAGGGTGTTTATTCGAAGATCTCTGCAGTCCCTTCCAGCAAAAACATGATCTCATCTTATATCCTGAGTAGTTCAATAAAATATTAGCTAAGTGGAGCAAGATTAACTAGAATTTTGGAGGCATCCCAAATGAGCTATGCTAGTTGGCCAGTCTGAATGTTTTTCTGTTGTTTAGATGTGCCTTTTTCTCAAACCTGTAGGTTCCAGTTGACTATCTCACTGTCTTGAAGACAGATTTTTTTCACCCTTCAAGGGAGCAACATGAAACGTGGGTAATTTGACTCTTATTGGCATATTGTCAAGAATTAAATGTTAATCAGATTAAATTACCAAGCTCATATTATTCTTATTCTTCTCCAGATGCCAAATTTTAGTAACAACTGATAGATTTATTTTTCATGGAAAAGGTAGTCCATGATAACTCAGTCCATGCTGAATCCTCATTTTTTGGGATGTGAATATTAAATCTTAGAACAGGACAGGATAGTATCTTTAGATTTGAACATCAGAATGCTCTTCCTGGTCCATATTTTCACTGGAATCCTAGGGAAGTTGTCACTCTGATGTCAATATCTTTTCCTATACCTCAGGGGAATCTGGTTAAGTTGGACTGGGTTTATTCGCAATCATTTGAACGGAACCAACTCTTAGTCATTCTTTCTAGAGAAATCCCAGAGCCCCTGGCAGCTTTTGGTTTGAAATATTTTCTCCAGTTTGAGTGCACATTGATCTCCTATGCTCACTAAGTGCCATGGTGTGTCAATGGCAATGCTGTGCCCTCCTGGGCCACCACCTTCAGCCTCAGGATTTCCAGGTGGGCAGAGCTAAAAGTAAAAGGCACAAAGTGTTTGTCCTCTCCAGTGTCCTGAGCTGGATTCTGACATTGTTGTGATAATCACAGTTCCTGGGTATGTGCTTGATAAGAGGAACAACAAAACATCACAAGTGATCAGTATTGGACACTTCTTCATAGAGTACAAAGCTTTGTAGCTTGGTGACAAAGCCATTGACTTATGCTATGCTACAGTCACAGTCACCCCTACTGTTTGTGTTTTGACTCATTACTTGGGCAAGTGAGTTTATGGTTTTCTTTCTGTGGGGACACAGCAGAGGAGCCAGGCGTCATAGGAGCAATAGCTCAGCTAGATGTGAGTTACTGTGGTTCCCTGAAGAACATGGAGGAGGTCTGGAAATACAAAGAACAGATGACTCCATTGTTCCTATTTCATATGATCATTAGGAAACTAGAGATGTAGCCATTATACTCCTACCACAGGGACTTTCCGTGTAAAGGGTTAAATGAGTATATTTAGGGTTGGAGGGCCAGTGAAAGAAAGGAGTGGTTTACAGGGGTCTTTGACTTCATTGGGTCAGTTCCCTGATGTTATCCCTTGAAGGTCCATCAACAAACAGAAGTATTGATTATTATTATTATCATTGTGATTATTTCTATTATTTTCTTTCTTTGTCTGGTTAGGAGAAAATGGTTTCTAATATAAATTTCCCAGAAAATTCCTAAGTATTTATGTTAAATCACTTGTTATTTTATGTTAAAATAGAGAAGGAATTAGCTTAAATAGAAAAAAAAATCATACAAACCTTGAGAGTTAAATTTCTATGGTCGGCTCAGGAAAGTCAGAGCTGGAAATATCCCAGAAACAGGGAAATCAGAAGTCTAGGGTCCAGGCCTCCCCTGGTGGCGCAGGCGGTTGAGTGCTGTGCTATGAAGCTGACGGCAGCCTTTGCAGTGCTGGTTTGATCCCAGCTGGCTGGTGATGGTCCCACATGGTGCGCAGACCTCTCCTGTCTCGCCCACTGCTCCCCTCAGCAGTGTATTTCATCAGTCTGCCACTTCTGTTCCCCACTCTGTCTTTGGTGAATCCTCTCACCCTCCCGTGCATCTGGCCTGTACCCTGGTTCTTGTATAAAGTAAATAAATAAATACATCTTAAAAAAAAAAAAGAAGTCTAGGTTCCACTTTCTACTCAAGTCCCACCTGATCCACCCACCTCTGAGACTGTCCTGCTTTGGCCTTCATCAAGATGCCCATGACCTTTTCTTATCCAAACTCAACATAATGATGCTTCACCACTATGGCTGCAATAGAAAACAAAGATGTCTCAATATTCCTGTTTGTATTTTGCTTCATAGACTTTGTTCTAAGCTCCTGGTTTGGAGTGGGGCTGGGGAGGAAAATCCAGTCTCTCTGTGGTGTTGACATCAAGTAGGATATAGTTTATGGATCTATAAAACAAATGACCTGTATCATTTGCTCACTAACCTCTTTTTTTCCTCTAAGCCACAATACCCCAAATAGGATTGTAGGATTTTACACTTTTGTCTTTTAAATAAAAAGTGAGACTACTCCTCTTACTGGCTGCTTAGAGTACATCAAATACAGATAGGAAAGGAAGGGAAAAGGTAAGTCAGAATGAAAGGTGACACTCATGTCCACCCTTTCTCAGTGGGTCATGGGCGGCTCTATAAACAATCTGAGGAACATATATCCTACTTGGGACATTCTATATTTACTGCTTAAACAACAAAACTCAAAACCCTGATGTTTGGGCCTCCCCAGTGGTGCAGCGGTTGAGCGCTGGGTTGCGAAGCTGCCCGCAGCCTCTGCAGCGCCGGTTCGATCCCCGGCTGCTAGGCGAGGGTCCCACGTGGCGCGCAGACCTCTCCTGCCATTTGCTGCTCCCCTCAGCAGTGTATTTCGTCAGTCTGCCTGTTCTGTTCCCCTCTCTGGCTCTGGTGAATTCTCTCACCCTCCCGCGCTTCTGACTGTACCCAGTGCATGTATAAATAAATAAATAAATCTTTGAAGAAAAAAACAAAAAACCCTGATGTTTGAACGGTACAAAGTTTTCAAATGTGTGATAACCAAAAGACATACAAAAAAAACAAACAAAATCTAGCCACCATTTGATTGGAGAATTCACAGCGTTTTATTCAAGTTAATCCATTTCATTCAACAAGCTGCCAAATTGTCCCTGGTAGCCTTAGTAGTATTGTTAGTCTTTTTTCTCTTTGGTAAGGACCATGCATTTAATCCTGTGCTGGATTTCCATGAAGTTTTAGCTTCATGATCAAAAATCATTTTCCTTACCAAAAAGTAACCTTTTAATCATAAGAAACAGAGGGAAAACAGATAGAAATTATTGCAGAAATTATTCCTCCACCAGAAACAACTTATAATCTTTAATCTTTCAGGACTGCTTTTACTTGGAACCTTGTTTTTTTGGGGGGGAGGGTCTGTTATTCACAAATATTTGCTTAAAACAAGTAACAAGCCCCGCTCACATAGGTGGTCCCCCAGGAAAGGAGCCCTAATGGATCTTAGGGGTGACAGTCATTCTACCGGAGCCAGGAAACAGAGTCAATAACTCTCTTGCCCCAACCAGTCAGTATTACCAGGTAAATGGAGAGGTAGTAACTAGCTGCATAACTCTTGGATTACACTCTCTAGACTAGGAATGATTATGTTGAGTAAAAACTGGAGGGAGACATCTACAGAATCTGGAGAAAATGGCTAAGAATAAGAAGGTGTGAAAAAGACAGACTTCCTACCAAGGAACCCACAGAAACAATGATGCAAGGACAACGTTAGCCTTGTACTTTTGAGAAGAGGGTACCCTGAATGGGTGTTAAAACTGTCACATGAAAACTGGAATGATTCTGAATGAGTTGAATGTAAAGTCAGTCTCTGTGCTTTGTTCAATAAATACTGATAGAACACCTGTGTGCAAGGCAGTGGGAGAGGGGCTGAAGGGAAAAATAAAGCTGGCAGTTGTCCTGATTTGAAGGAGCAATCTATCTACCAGTGGCCATCAGACCCCTGCACCCTACAGAACACTGTGCCCCAGGGGCCACTCAGAGGGAAGGGTCACTTCCTGCTGGCAGGAGCAGGGAAGACATGACCCAGTTCTTTCCCTTCGGCTGTCGGGGTGTGCTTCATTTCTCTATGTGATCACTCACTGCCTTTTCCAGGCACATGCTTACTTCATCTTTCTCGCTGTGAGAAATGGAAGTTTAAGAGGGTTACACAGGTAAGTCCCTGTCTTGCAGGTAGCTAATAAATATGTGTGTGGAATGCAGATGTTAAAATGAAGTGTCACTTTATCTTGGTTCTGCAAAGGAGAAAAAAATTGGGGAAAGGAGAGATAAGATAGTGGTGCTAAGGGTAAGGTGTTTAACCAGAAGGTAGAGCAAAGAGGCACCAACAAGCACATTCAGTGCGTGGTTTAAACAAGGCAAAGGGAGAGCACCACACAGCAGAGGACGGACCTCAGGATGCCCTCTGCCAAAAGACTCATCTGAAGAACTAGAAAACTAAAATCTTTTCCTACAATCTACTTAAACTCAACCAGAGTATATGTAAGAATAATGAATTAGAGGGTTTCAACTTTCTAGAAAGTAGAAAGATCAAGTAAACACAACATCCCCCTAAAAGGTGAGATTTGGGGTCTCCCAGGTGGTGCAAGGGGTTAGCACACAGCCTATGAAGCAAACTGCAGCCACTGCAGCACGAGTTCAATCCCCGGCCAGGGAGTTACCCACTTGGTGCAGCAGACCTCTCCTGACTGGCCTGCTGCTCCCCTTAGCTGGGTATTTCTGTCGATCTGCCTGTTCTTTTCCCCACCCTGTCTCTGGTGAATTCTCTCACCCCCCACACCTCTGGCTCCAGTTCTTGTATGCATAAATAAATCTTTAAAAAATAATAAAAGGTAAGATTTGAATGTCAAAGCATAGAGGAAAGTTTTTAGATATCTTCTTTAAGTTTGTTTTTGGCGTTTTGGTCTATAAGCAATCAAGATTGAGAGAGATGCTATCCCAAATAAGAAAGTTTGTAGGAACCAGAACAGCTGAGCCCAACCATTTGTGATGCCTTTAGACCTAAAAAAGAATAAAAGAAAAATTAGCTACCCGAATCTTAATGATTTTACAGGAGTTACTGTCTTTTATTTCCTTAAAAATGTATTCCTTTCATTTACTTTCATTGGGTTTATTTTGCCCCTGCCCTTCAGTTTCTTAACTAGAAGTTAGTTCATTTGTTTTCAGTGGTCCTGTGCATGTAAGATGGTACAATTTTTCCTGAGAAGTAGTCTGGCTACTGCCTAGTGCATGGTATTGTGCAAATATATCTCACTTGATTCTGCTGAGCAGATGGGGTTAAAAAGCACTGGTATGGCTTTAGAGCAAGAGTTTTAAAAATAAACTAGAGGTAAATCCTAGACAGGACAACTTCCAGATGTGACCTAGGACAAGTCACTCTATTTCTCTAAGAATCAGTTTTCTCTTCTGAAAAATAGGACTAACTATATTTAGCTCATGAAGTTTTGAAGTGATTTATCAGATAATATACACACAGGGCTTAGTAAAGGGCTTGGCACAGAATAAAAATAAGCATTTGTCATACAGTTATTCCAACTAAACTATTTTAAAAAAGCTCAAATTCAAGTTAATGGCTTGCTACAATCTCACCTTTATATAAATAAGCCTCATGTGGGTGACTTCTAATTTAAAAACAATGTATGTAGAAACAATTTACTTTTGCACACTAACGGATAAAAGGAGGAATATCAAAAGATCACCTTAATATATGCTGAATAAACATTTGACAAATTTCAACATCTGTTTTCAACAAACTTAGAAATAGAATGGAACTTCCTTATTCTGATAGAGGAGATCTATATAACTCTAGAAAAAACATGACACAAAATGTCAAGGTAGTAGTAATAAAGTATCTTAAAAAATTTTTCCACTTTTAGAAATAATACAGCAATAACAGAAATGATAATCTTGACCAGAAAAAAATTCATTGCAAAGCAATGAGGCATTAGTATAACCATTTTTTTTTCATTATACAATACATCATACTTTCTGTATGGTATATATGTACATATATTGTATATGTATATAAAACACAGACTTAAACAGGAATTTTTCTAGTTGTCTCATATAGCATTAGATTACCCTGGCATCTGCTGAGTAGGGTTTAGTTGAGGTGCTTTTAACTTGTATTGCATTTCAGAATTATCTTTGGAGGTTAAAAACTACAATATATTTCCATGTCTGAAGTAAGGGCGACCAGACTGGAATCGCTGGGTCTGTAAACCAGAAAGGTGTGTTTTGAAAAAGCTCCTCGGATGATTCAGTTGTGAAACCAGAATGGAAAATCACCAAGTAGGTCCATAATTTATATCTTTTTCATATTAGAAAGCAGCCTCCTCATCTTTTGTTTTTGTTGGGGCCATGCAGAGAATTTTTTAAAATAATAAAAAAAATCACTTAAATAAGTAATTGATTAACACAAGGGAAATGAATTCAATCATTAAATATTTACTGAGTTATCCCTCCAGGTTGGGCTCAGTATTCGGTGTGGGGATTCAACTCTACCCTGAAAGTGCTCTCAGCATACAAGTGCATGAATTATTTAAATGCAGTTACTCTCAACTTATATTAGGTGCCAACAGAAAAGCAACAAAGACCAAAGAACACTTACTTGCACAATACCATGGCATATGAGGACTCTCCCACATGAATCAGCCAGGCCAGCCAAAACCTAAAAAAGAGGTATCAGTCTAGTTTAAGGTGATGGTTATCTGCTGATGAACTTTAACACAGAAACTTCAAAAAGAAAGGTGTCTTAAAGTGAACTAGCTCCATTTAGACATCTAAAGGCAAATTCAGGGCTTCCAGATGTACAATAAGTCTGGAGCAGCAGCATCCACATTCTATTTCTGCAGCTCTACTTACCCGCTGTGCAGGAGGGTGTGATGATGGTCCACCAAGTATTGGGTAAAAGGGCCCAGGGGCCCTAGGTTCTGATAAGGTATGCTCTGAGGCCAGAAGACAACCCACTAAAAGAGAACCAGAGTTACAGAACACTTATTAGATTACTTAAATCAGTCATTTTATTTATTTATTTATTTTTTAATAGAGGCATGTTTTATTTATTTATTTATTTGTTTGTTTGTTTTGTTTATACATGCACTGGGTACAGTCAGAAGCGCAGGAGGGTGAGAGAATTCACCAGAGCCAGAGTGGGGAGCAGAGCAGGCAAAGGGACCGAGGTACACTGCTGAGGGGAGCAGCGGGTGGCAGGAGGGGTCTGCACGCCATGTGGGACCCTCCTCTGGTGGCCGGGGAGCAGCCGGGGATCGAACCGGCGCTGCAGAGGCCGCGGGCAGCTTCACAACCCAGCGCTCAACCGCTGCGCCACCGGGGAGGCCCCCAGGCATTTTATTTTTGAGAGAGGCTATGAAATGATCTTGATACTATAAGAACTAATACAAATGAAAGAAATTCTGAAGTCAGCTGGGCTTCCACTATATTTTCTAAAAACTATTCTTGGGAGATTGATGGTGAGCAAAGTGTGATTAAAAAACTGAGCGCCCAAGCTGGATGACTTCTATTTGTAATGAATTCCACCAAAAAACATTTACACTATCCAAATAGCTTTTCCTTACTTCAAATTGCACTTAGGGGCCTCCCCGGTGGCGCAGCGGTTGAGCGCTGGGTTGCGAAGCTTCTGCGGCGCCGTTCGATCCCCGGCTGCTCCCCGGCCACCGGAGGAGGGTCCCACATGGCGCGCAGACCTCTCCTGCCGCCCGCTGCTCCCCTCAGCAGTGTACTTCGGTCCTTCTGCCTGCTCTGCTCCCCGCTCTGGCTCTGGTGAATTCTCTCGTCTTCTGACTGTACCCAGTGCATGTATAAACAAAACAAACAAAGAAACTATAAAGCATGCATAACACACTTAGTCTCCATATTTTGCCCTCCTGTAATCCCACATTCTGAAGCTAGACAAAGCTCACTTGCACTCTCAGGGGAGAGCCTGTCTTCTTGATTCCACAACTATGCCATAACACTGATATCCTGATTTATTTTTTGTTTGTTTATTTATTTATTTATTTATACAAGCACTGGGTACAGTCAGAAGCGTGGGAGGGTGAGAGAATTCACCAGAGCCAGAGCGGGAGCAGAGCAGGCAGAAGGACCGAAGTACACTGCTGAGGGGAGGGCGGCAGGAGAGGTCTGTGCGCCATGTGGGACCCTCCCCCGGTGGCCGGGGAGCAGCGGGGGATCGAATCGGCGCTGTAGAGGCCGCGGGCAGCTTCGCAACCCAGCGCTCAACCGCCGCGCACCGGGAAGGCCCCCTCCTATCCCTTCTTACCAACTAAATCCTATCTTTCCTTTAGGTTTATCACCATTTTCCAAGCAATTTCAACTTCCTTAAACATTCTGCTTTGGAAGCCCTATTCTGACTTGGCAGGCTTACAGCAGCCTGTCAACCTGGCTTCCCCTCCGTGAGCTCCACTCAGAATAGGTCAAGTAAGGGACCCAAAGGCAGGAACGTCAAAGCAGAGAAAGTCCTGAGCCCACCCAACTTCCGCTTACTCCAGTATCCCAGGCAACTGCCGGCAGCGCATGCGCATGATCGAGTTCGTGCTCCTCGCCCTACACCGGCCAGGCGAGCCCAAATAGGCGCGGCATCCCGCCCCACGCCTCACCGCGAAATATCCCAGCGCCAGGACTGTCACCAGCGAGGGCAAGGGTCTGGCTGGACGGAAGTAGGCGGTGGCAGCCCTGCCGGCCTCAGCCTTCGCAGCCACCATCTTGAGCGATCTGAACACTTTGGCCGGGTGGGGAGCGGACTCCGCCCTCATGCAAGGAAACCTTGGGGAGCCGGTTTCTCAGGACGTAGAGCAGGCCGACCGATAAGCTCGCGTTGTCTCCAGTTTTTAGTTGCCTCCCTCTGCGCGCCGAGCTCGCAGGAGCCGAAATTGCGCCTGCGCAACCTCTCGCCTGCAAGCGCGCACCCAGTGCGCAAAGGGGGGTTCGCCCCTCTCGCCCAGGCTTGGGGAGTAGGGGGTTGAGTGCTGTCCTTACCGTGTAATAGCCAAAGGAGAAGGTTATGACGGTGCACCAGAAAAGGCTGCATCTCTGGAAGTACGCCTCATTGCCTGCTGCCTTCCCCATTGCTGCAGCACCCCCGGGATTGCGGGGCGGCACTGCGGGGCTGGAGACAAGCGGCAGGGCTGGGGCGGAGCCTTGGTGAGCGCTCCTCCCTTCCTTCCGGGAGGGAAACACGGATTCTGACACGGACTGGGATCTAGCGTAGACGACTCTTCAGTTTGTAAGGGAGACTTCTGGCTGAATGTCACTTTCCTAGCCTTAAGATAGAGGTGTTGGACTAGGTGTTGGACTACTACCTTGTCTGGTACCTGGTCTTAGAGAAAAGAATTTTCTATTGAGTATGATGTTAGCTGTGGGGATTTCATATATGACCTTTTTCTGTTGATATGTCCCTTCTGTTCCCATTTTTTGGGTGAGTTTTTAATCACACATGGATGTCGACTCTTTACTAGATGCATTCTCTGCTTCTATTGATATTGTTATAGGGCAGCCCCGATACAAAACAGGGTGCCTGACTGTGGGTCCTCACCCGCGCGGTTAAAAGGACTTATCAATGCTCTACTGCAGGCACACGTGAAAGGTAAATAAAAGGTTTATTTACAAGGGAAGGGGAAATGAGGAAATGTCCAACTCAGGGAGAAAAGTGGGAGACAAAGTTTTAAATGCGTCCCACCCGATCCGCCAATCAGGAATCCCAAATGGCACTCTGAGAGCTGGCCGCTAGCCAGGAGCCGTGAAGCCAGGAGGCGAGCAGACAGAGCGAGAGACCCCAAGGCCCACTTGTTTGGTTTTTATACCCAACCTGGCTGCTTAACTCCACCCCAGGTCCCAGCCACCTTCCCTTTGGTGGTGATGGGATTTGTCTTTCCCAATGTCTTGATGACTTTGGTCTGGAATGGGGGTGGGGTCCACAAAACCTGTATGGGATTAGCTCAGAACATCCTTTCCCCCTAACAATATGATCATGTATTTTTTATTTCCTTTTATTGATGTGGTGAATTATTTTGATTTTCCGCTGACTTTTTTTTCTTTCAAAACTTTGAGTGTATAATACTCTCTCCTGGGCATATTCTACTGGGAGTTTACTTTGTGGGCCCTGGGCCTGCCACAGGGACTTGTAGCCCTTGAAAAATGCTTTGAGTTATAAATTATGGTCCCAAACCAATCACTGTAAATTACTCTGGTTGTGCTTTGGTTGCTTAATGGACTGCCTTTTTAGCTGCTGACAGGTTATTTTCATAGGGCTGCCTCCTGCATTGGCAGACACTACCAGCCTTGATACTCTGTGGATATTTTTTAAAGTGTGGATACTGTTTGCTGTACCCACCAGGAACACCTATGCAGAGCATGCAATAACTTTCTTTTCTAAATATAATCAGCTTCCCCTGCCCCCCATCATTGGCTCACATCTGGGATATCATTTTACTGTGTTTACTAACACAGCTCTGAACTCTCCAACAGGACATCTGATGGGACTATCATCTCCCATAGCAGCCACAGGTCTCTGACATTATTGACCACTTGAATGGTCTTTTAAAATTCTTTCTCCTTAAGTTACAGAGTGGCAATTGGATTCCTCAATGGATTGGATTCCTCTCAGCCATATAGCCACTATTTTCCTCACAACAACAGCTCACCCAGGACTGATAACAATCCTATGATTGTTATCATGGGGGGAATCAGATGCCTTCATCTTATGAATATTATTTAAGTTTTCTCCAACAATTTCGAATCCTCTTGCAAATTTAAAATGTCGATATAATCTCACCATTCAAAATTCATTGGCTGCCCAGTTGGAATAGGTGGTTGACTGTGACCCCTCGTCTGTAGATATCCGTGGTCCATTAGAAAACACAGACCCACTATGCTGCTACTGGCCCACAATTAGCCACTTCATATGCAAATTCCAATGTAACATAGCATTATTGGATTGCTCCTTTCTTCTAACCATACCTCTCCACAGGAAGTAGAAATAATTCCAGGTAGATCTTGTATATTAGCCCCTTGTCGGTTGTATAATGTGTAAATTTTTTCTGCCATTCAATAAGATGTCTTTTTGATCCACTTATATTTTCTCTCACTGTGTAAAATCTTTTTTTGAGGTAATCTCAATTGTTCATTTTTGCTTTTTTAAAAAGATTTATTTATTTATGCATACAAGAACTAGGGTACAGGGAAGAGGTGTTGGGGGGCGGTGAGAGGACTCACCAGAGACAGAGTGGGAAACAGAACAGGCAGATGGACTGAAATACATTGCTGAGGGGAGCAGCGGGTGAGACAGGAGAGATCTGCTGCACATGTGGATAGCTCCCTGGCTGGGGATCGTACTCATGCTGCAGTGACTGTGGATAGCTTCATAGGTTTTGTCTTAACCCCTTGTGCCACCAGGGAGGCCCCCATTTTTGCTTTTATTTCCTTAGCTATAGGGCTGACTCAGTTTCCAAAAACATCTTTGTTATTGATGCAATAAAATGTACCATCAATGTTGTCTTCTTTATATTTAATCGTTAGATGTTTTATATCTAAGTCTTTAATCCATTTTGGATTTATTTTCATGTATGGAGTTATTGAGTGATTCAACATCTTTGTTTCACATGTGGCCTTCCAGTTTTCCCAGAACCATTTGTTAATGAGACTCTCCTTTCCCCGTTATAAGGACTGCAATATGGAAAACAGAAGACCTTTCTCTAGCTGCTGAGGGAATCTGGCATCATAGATTCTAGAGTACTCCAGGAGATGCTCCCAAGGTGTTTCAAATACCAGGAGTTAGTCAGCACTACCCATGGGGTGGCTGAAGGAAAGGCCTGGAGACATGGGGCTTCTGGTGTGTGGACATAGACAAAGAACTAAAGGAAAAGATAAAGTCACAGACATCTGGAAGAAGCAGACAACAGCAGTCATGGTGAGGTGGGCCTCACATTGCTGGAGCTGGAGTTTCCTTGGGAATGGCTGCAGCAGTGTATTAGCATCTCAGAGGGCTCTAGAGCAGCAAAGAAGGTGGGGACATGTGGGCAAGGAAGTTCAGGGAAGGCCATCCCACAAAAGGTAAGAGTGTGTGGCAGGGCAGGGGGCCCCTCTAAGATGTGATGTAAGAAGCAGAAGAGTGACCCCTGCCAAGTGGCAGCTCCTCCACCCTCTGCTTCCACAGAAGGGGACCTACACCAACCTCTGGAGCCCATCTACCTGCCCCACCTTGCCCAGCTATGCTAAGGAGTTCCCGGCTCTTTCCCAGTCTCTGGGCAGTAATGTTGAGATGAAAGAGGAGGAGAAGTGGACAGCGTGGATCCTGGCTTTTGGAAATTGCAGAGGCAGATTGCTTTTGCAGCAGTTGTTGGTCATTATACCACTGGTTGGTCTTCTCTGGATCTCGGGCTCCTGGACATCTGTAAAATACAGACAACGACGATGCCATTTAAATCACCGGTCTGCACTGAGGAGCAGTGTGATGAATACCAGTGGCAGGTTTCCAAACCCAGGTGGGGGTGAGAGTGACTGAGTCAATAAGGAAGAAAATTGCCCCACTTCTTGAAGAAAGTTCTCCAAAAACCGGAGCTAGGCAGCTCAGATTACAGGGCAGGTATAAATAGCCAGTGCCCGCCAAGGAAAGGCTATTTTGCCTGGAGATACTGGAGTCCTACAGGAAGAAACTGTGAGTGTCTCTCTCGTTGCCTCTCATTGTTTTGCCAATGCCCAGATAACCCCATACCCACGTGGGTGGTTTATCCTGACAGTATTGAGAAAGGCAGGGTCTGTGTAGGTGTGGGTGTGGGAAGTGGGGGGCTAGGTTGAGTGATAGGGAACTGTCTTCTTCCCCTCTCTTTGCTCCCTTTGCTTGGTAGGAGATTTGCACTCTGGGCTGGGGGAGGGTGGGTAAGTGCGAGATGACCCTAGACCCTGGGCAACATTGTTTGGAAGCCTCAGTGAAAAAATCCAATTCCAACTTCTTTCTCAGCTCTTTTCCATCCCTGATTTCTTCAGAAAGAAAAGAAACAGACCAGGCATTCCCAGGCCTGATTCTAAGCCCATCTTGGGACTGTGGGACAGGGATAAATATGCTTATATCTAAGCCTTTACTTTAAAAATACATGACTGGACTGGGTCTCTCTGATTTTCTAACCAATTTCCCAAGGGACCCTTTTTTTGTTCTCAATAAAATCTTAAAAATTGGCATAAGCTGAACACTGTGTGAGTTGTGGAGGCTGCGGCTCTATCCAGGCCATCTGCAGCCCCAGCTAAGATGCCTCCTATTTGTCGCAGGTCTGGACCCTGTAAGCTAGTTCTCTCCCAGGTCCCTTCCTGCTAAAACAGGAAGTGGTTGTTTCTGTGCTACTTGACGCTGTAGGGCAGACTACGTATTGTTTTATATTCTACGGCAGATTTTGGTGCAGGAACCAGAGCTGAGTCAGCTGCGGACTGGGGGGTTGATGTCCTTGCTCCAACCTGGGTCCTTCTGTCTTCACATGCAAGCCTCTGCCACGACAGGCGCAGCAAAGCTGCTGCTAGCCTGTGAAACACCGCTCCCCAACCCCCCCCCCCAACATGTTCTAGAGACTGCCAGGATGCCTAGGGAGGCAGTGGATTGCCAGAGGCTAGTGCAAAATAGGTGTTGTCCACAACTCAGAATCCCATACTGAAGAAAAAGGCACCTCTCTGGCCAGAAAGCCCCTCCCCTGCCACCACCTCTGCCTGCCGGGTGACCCCCTTTTCCTTTGCACACATCCCCTGCACTGGCTTTATTTTCATCCTCTGCAACTCCTGCAAGCTCATCCCATGCTCATAACTTTACAGCTTCTCTCAGAGAGTGGGGCGAAGGCCAATATGGGTGTTGCCTCAGCCCGGCACCCAACCTGCTAAGTTGCTAAGTCTCAGGTGGTGACTGAATGCCCTATTGGACACATGCTCTTTCTTACCCCCCAAATAGCCTTCCATTGACTGGGTGCATCTCACATGTCCCCTCTTCCCAGATTTCTGGGTGATCTGGTCAGAATGCTTCGGTGGCCCAGGCTCCTCCAGGTGTTAATGAGTATCTCTGAGAGCTTTCATCTGGGAATTTCCTCACTCAGACAGTGTCTAGTCTAGGAAGAGGAAATCTGGCAAACAAGTCACCACCAGCGATCCTGTGCTCTGAACAGATGCCACTAGGCACTCAGGACTCTGCTTCCTTCTGAGACCAGCACTTGAGACCTGCAGTGCTAAGCTGTCCCAGGCAGCAAGTGAGAGGACGTGGATGCGGCTTGTGGCAGTTAGGTCACCGACCTTAATGCTACTGACAGGGAGTGGGGATTCAGGGAGTGGAAAGGCCTGCCCAAAGGTACTCAAGGAATTCCAGATTTGACAGATGGCTCTAGTGAGCAATTCTCCTTCCTAGCCACCCTGCCGATGGCAGTGCCTGATGGAAGGCGCAGGAGGGACATCACAGGGCTTCTGAGACTAGGTAGATGCTGCTGTCAACCATGCCCGAGTTCCAGCTGGGGAAATCATGTCCTCCCTAGCCAGGCTGCATGCTCACCCTGTTCCTACATTGCTTCCAGAGCCCTGCTGCTCTCAGTCCCCAGGAGGGGAGAGAGGTGGGGGAAGTGCTTCTCCTGACCTCTGAGAGCTGGGCCAAGACTAGAACCAAGAGTGTGTCCTTTCTGTTCATCTGCCTAGGCCATGCTTCTCCTCCCTCTCTCCGTGCTGATCGTGCTCACACAGTCCCCGGGGGCGCTGGGAGCAGAAGTGAAGAACTATTCCCCGAGATCCGTGACCAACGCCTGCACTCTGGTCATGTGTAGCTCCTCGGAGACTGGCCTGCCGGGTCGCGATGGACGGGACGGGAGAGAGGGCCCCCGGGGCGAGAAGGGGGATCCAGGTAGACTGGGGCTGTGGGCCTGTCCTGTGGGAAGGGGGGGGGGCATTAGCATCACGGCCAACCGGCAACTCTGGATATTCTGTCATGGAAACCTCAGAGAGTCGCTTCTTCCCCAGGGGGCATTTTTCCCCAAACATCCAGTCCTCCGTAGCACTGCTTTGCCAGTTGACACATGACTGGCTGCCCAAGCCCTGGGTGCCTCCCTCCACCACTCAGCTGCTTGATTCCTCCCAAGGGTCTTCCCACTCCTCCCACCCCAAGAATGGGCAAATAGCGAGTCAATGACTGGTATTTGGGGGCCCTCTAGGCCCCTGTTCCAGCACTTGGCTGTCGTAAATCCTTATTAGATGGTGCTTGTGCTGGGCGTCAACAACTTTTAACATTTAATGAAACTCGACAGTATGCAGGGTGAGAAAGGACAAGGCTCTGTGGTGCTATACTCAGATACGATCAAAGAGATTTGCCCTAAATTCCTTATGGAGAGAAGGAAAGAGAGTTCATGTATCTTTGTCCATCCATCCCTGTGCTTAGCAATTCACTGGAGTATTCATTTAATCCTACCTGAAATCTTTTTTTTTAAAGATTTATTTATTTATGCATACAAAAACTGGGGTGTAGGCCAGAAGTGTGGGGTGGGGTGAGAGGATTCACCAGAGACAGAGTGGGGAGCAGAACAGGCAGCTCTACTAAAATACACTGCTGAGGGGAGCAGTGGGCGAGACAGGAGAGGTCTGTTGCTCCATGTGGATTAGCTCTCTGGCTGGGGATCGAACTTGTGCTGTAGTGGCTGGCAGTAGCTTGATAGCACTGTGTCTTTAACCCCTGCCCCACCAGGGAGGCCCCTACCTGAAACCTTACCAGGGACATATTAGTGTCATTTGGCAGATAAGAGACTGGATGTAGAAAGGCCCTGCCCCTGAAAAGCCACTAGTGTCCTGGGTCTCAGTTTGCTCACCTGTAAATGGGAACAATATCTGCCACACAGTGGTAAATGCTTGAGCCAAGGTTTTATTTTTGGTTGTTTTCAGGATAATGTTCCTGCTGCACCAGTCAGGTGTGTCACCCTGAGGGTTCCAAAGATGCTGACCATTCAGGGAATTACCTAAGAAATACTGGCCCACAGGGGAGGCTCTGGGTCTTTTTGGCAAGAAGGAGACCTCAATGAAGCAGCAAGGATGAAGGGACCCCAGTCAGTGGGCGAGGCCTGTGCAGGGGTCAGCTGTGTCTTCACCTTTCTGGGGCTGCCCTTTGGTTAGGGAGGAAGGAAACAAATAGCACTTCAGCTGGAAAGAATCAGTAAGATTCCCAGTACAAACAAGTATCTGTTTGTCCTTTACAGACAGAAAATGACTCCCAGCATGAATGGGTTGGGGCTTTGGGGCTTCCAAGTTGGAAGTGAACTTGGAAGAAGGGTGGTCTTCAAGATGCCCACTCACTTGGAGAATCCCAGCTCTCTCCAGTTCCCAGAGACTCTGGATTGCATCCCTGGGGCCCCTTTCTATGGTTGCCCTCTGAGCCTGTGTCCTGAAGCACAGCTGAGACCTCCCTTTCTGGCGCAGCTCCCTTACCCTATGCACGTGCCTGGCCCTGGGTTGGCACTTGGAGAAAGCAGCACACAGCCCAGCTGGCTCCTCTGGCTCCTCAATTCTAGTAACTTTAGTCACTCTATCATTATGGGCCTAAGAATTTCCTGGAGTGCTTGGAGCACGCTCAGATTCCTGACTCAAGTAGGTCTGGGTGGGGCCACTTGTGAAACCTCACCTACAAAATCTGATACAGACAGTCCCAGGAACCTGCAGTGAAGACAGGATGGGCCTGAGAGACAGACCATTGGCAGATGTGGGGGTGAGCTGTGGTGATGCCCCAGGCATAGCATGGAGGGCCAGTAAGACCTGGACCCTGACTTGGAGGCTGCCTTTCTAGATACAATTCCCTTATTCCTGAGTACTTTCAAAGGTTCCTACCCTGAGGGATCTAGTGAGAGACTTCCTTCAGGGATGCGAGTCTCCTAGGAATAAAATCTCTCACCTCACAGTAGCTAGCAAGGTCTTGCTCCAGCTTTGCCTACTTCTCTGATGTCACCTCTTTCTACTCCTCCCACACTCTGGCTCCTCTGGGGTCCCTAACCACACCAGCCCCCTACCTCCTCAAGGCTCTGTCACTTTCATGCCACAGACACTCTTATGACTCACTCCTTAACTCCTTCTCCAGCTTCCTCCCAGACCCCATTCTCAGGAAGTCCTTCTCTGGCCCCCTACAGACAAGACCCTTCTGCTAACATTCTTTATGCTTTACTATTCCTCTGTGGCAGTTATTCTGATCTAATAAGCCACATGTTGTGTATTTAAATTTTTGTTATATTTCTATGTAGAAGAGTTTTATGTTCCTTGAAAAAAGGATTGATGTTTTGTGTGTTTCACTACTAGTGTTAGCATTTAGGACAGTGCCTTGTGCATAGTAGAAACTCAGTGTAATGAATCATTATTCATCAGTATGGTTATTTGTTAAAATGAATGAACGTATGAAAGAGTGAATGAATGTGAGATACAAAGGATTTCAGTAGAGTTAAGATTGGCCAAATTGCTTGTCCATAAAACTTCACCCTAAGTGCTAGGCCTTTGGGGGCTATTAGGATGCAAAATTACTTCATGGGCAGCCACAGGGCTTGCTGTTGAAGAGTGTTCCTCTTCCACCTTAGTCCTCCCATGGCCTCCATGCACCAAGCATGGGCAACCTCTAGTGCTCCCTTCTAGGGAGCAACTTTTTTTTCTTAACCTGTCTGCCTGCTGTCATCCTAGCCAGTGTGGACCCCAGAAGGCATCTCTGTCCCCAGCGCAGTTTGTGTGAGATGTGGGGTTCATCCTGCAACCCTCTATTCCATTTCAATCCTACTCAGAATTATAGTAAAAGCAGGACACAATGCCCATCAGCACAGAGCCTCTCAGCCACCATTAAAAGTACAGCCCCCCACCCCCACCCCCTCCACAAGTACATTCCTGCCTCAGGCAGGCCTGGCTCTTCTGTCCTAGGAGCTGGGTTTCTAAATCTGAATTGTGCCCTCCCCTCTACAAGTCCTTCCAAATCCTCCTCAGCCATGAAGTCCTTTCTCCTTCCTCAGGAAGAGAGGCGTGTGTATGTGTGTGTGCTGGGATTATAGGTGTGGTGATGGGGGAGGGACTTCTCACCTACTACCTCTGCCTCATATTTCAAAATCTTTTTACCAATTCGTTGAAGGCCAGGAACACTGTTAATTTTTGCTTCTCACCTAGTGCTAAACATGAAGTCATGCTCCACAGGTGGTTTCCTAGTGGACACATAAAATAATGAACAAATAAACCAGTGAATTAGTAAGTTAGTACCACTGATTGTTAGATGTCATTTCTTATCTATTTGCACGTGAATGTTTATTAGTAGCTTTATTAACAGTGGAAACCACCCAAGCATCCACTAACAGATGAATGGATAAAGAAAATGTATTCTATACATACAATGGTATATCATTCAGTCAGACAGTGGAAATGAAGTAGTACTGAGATATGCTACATGTGGGTGAACCTCAGAAACTCTGCTCCAAGTTTAAAGAGCCAAATACCAAAGTTCTTATATGATTCTGTTTCTATGAAATGTCCAGAATGGGTAACAGACAAAAGGCTGAACAATGGTAGCCAGGGGCTGGTGGGTAGGGGTTGGGGGGGGGTGGTTAGGGAGTGACTGCTTAGTAGACCTGAGGTTTTCTTTTGGGGTGATGAAATATCTTTGAGCTAATAGAAGTGGGAATTGCCCAACATTGTGCATGTGCTAAATGTCATTGAATTGTATACTTTTAAAAGTTTTAATTTTGTGTGATATAAATTTTAACCCAATAAAAAACAGATTAACTAAAAGAATTGAGTGTGTAAAGTCATAACTATGGATAGCCATTTGCTCCCTTTAGTTTTTTTGGGTAAACCCTGCATAATTTCAGGCTTGGACTGTTTTTCTTGAGATAACTTGTCTCTTTGAAAATGTTTCATCATTTTTCAATTACAAAAAAACAATAGGTGGCCACTAAAGAAAAACATAAAGATGAAAATTAAAATTACCTTAATTGTATCACTTGGAAAGAACAACTGTTAGCACTGGTTTATGCCCACCCTGTGGTTTTTCCATTATATTACATATAATTATATATTATACCCCGCACTTGCATGCACATATTTTTGAAACAAGATCATTTTGAACAAAGTGGTTATAGCACTACTTTTATCACTTATTAGACAATAATTTGATCCATTTTCTATAGCTTCATGAGCATTTTAGCTGCCTTTTCTTTTTTATTGAATGCACTTGAAATATAACATTGTATTAGTTTCAGGCAACAACATGATTCTATATTTGGTTATATTGCAAAATGATCAGTGTAAGTCTAGTGAACACTCATCACCACACCTAGTGGCAATTTTTTTCTTGAGATGAGAACTTTTTTTTCTTACATTTTAAAAGGACAGGTTTATTAGGAAAAGGAGAAAGGAAAAGAGACACAGCACCGACACAGGCAGGCAGAGAGCTTCCGCTGCTGCTTTGCAAAGGGAAAAGGTTTGTGAGAAGAAATGCCTGCATAGTCACAGGCGGACGGGGCGGCAGCCTCGAGATGTGAAATTTTAAGATCTACTTTCTTTGCAACTTTCAAATATGCTATCATTTTTTATTTATATATTGTTTACATCATTGTTCATTTTTTTTTTTTTTGTATTTCATTTCTGAATTCTTTTTTTTTTTTTTTTAATATTTAATTTTATTTTTATATTCCCCCATACAATTGCAAACGCCCCATTCTGACCCCAATCCTTCCCCTCCCGCCCCCCACCCCCCAAAAAGTGTCTCTGGTTCATAGTTTTTTGTTGATTTTGATTTTCACTTTACTTTCTTATATTCATTTTCCTGGTCCCTTATTTAAGTTTTCTAGATTCCTGCTATGAGTGAGACCATCCGGTATCATCATTGTTCATTTTTAAGCAATGTTTGCTTCCCCCCCATCTCGGGTGTAGTCCCCATAGAGTTTCCTTCCCCAATGCACCTGTGCACCATCATGACAGTCCCCTGTGCTCCTCCCTCCCTCTGACCCCTCTGCCTCCTCCTCCCCTGCACTATGTTTCTGGTTTATAATTGTCTGTTTATGTTTGTTTTGTTGTGTTGTGTTGTGTTTTGTATTATTATTACTTTTTCCCCTGATGTCTTATTTGTTTCCCCTATATCCCTCCTATAAGTGAAACCATCCCATATTTTTCTTTTTCCTTCTGACTTATTTCACTGAGCATAATTTCTTTTAGCTCCTTCCATGTTGCTGTGAATGGCATGTGTTTATCTATTTTGATTGCTGAATAGTATTCCATTGTGTATATATTAACCGTAGCACCACACTGTATGTTCCCTTCCCAAGACATACTGGAGGTTGTAACTGGTGGTTTGTACCTTTTGACCCCCTTCATGCATTTTGCCTGTTCCCCAATGCCACCTCTGCCAGCCCATCTGTTCTTTGCATCTATGAGTTTGCTGGTTTTGTTTGTTTAGATTCCACATAGAAGTGACACTATACTGTATTTTTCTGTGTCTGACTTACTTTACCCAGCAGAGTGTCCTAAAGGTCAATCACATTGTAACAGATTTCCTTCTTTTCTAATGGCTGAATGATATTTCAACGGTCTGTGCCCCTCACATTTTCCATTCATCCACCCACAGACCCCCAGCCTCTTGGCTGCCTCACGTGTCTCAGCTGCCGGAAGCAAGGCTGCAGCTAGATGGTGCATATGTTTTTTTAAGTTAGTGTTTTTGTTTCTTCAGATATTGGAATTGCTGGAGCATATGGTAGTTCCATTTTTAATGTTTCAAGGAACCTCTATATTATTTCCCATAGCGACTGCGCCAACTTACATTCCCACCAGCTGTGCACAGTGGCTTCCTTTGCTCCAATCCTCACAAACACTCGCTACCTCTTGTCTTTTTGGTAACAGCCAGTCTGACAGGTGTGAGGTGATAACTCCTGTGGTTTGGATTTGTATTTCCCTGATGATTCGTGGCAGGTGTCATTTCTGTTATAAACTTTGGTTCTGAGAACGGGAGAGACGGGAGTCCATGATCAAGGTAAATGCAGACATCACCTGCCTTGAGCACAGTGGCCAGGGAAGGTTCCCGTATGGGGAGTCAAACAGGCTGGGCTTGTTTGACTCTGGCACCACCTTTAACTCTGGCAAGCTGTTTTCTCACCTGTAGATGGGAATGTGGGCCCCTATTTGCTGGATCACCACTGGACTGAGGCGTGTGGAGGTGGAATTTCTACATCCTTTGCAAACCTGAAGGGAGGAATGACAGGTGCTGGCTTCAGGGTGCTGGCTCCTGCTGGGTCCAGAGCCAGTTTTATGCCCATTTCTTCTGCTGCTACAGGTTTGCCAGGACCTATAGGGCAAGCGGGGATGCCGGGAGCAGCTGGCCCAGTTGGAGCCAAAGGAGACAATGGCTCTGCTGGAGAACCTGGACCAAAGGGAGACTCTGGACCACGTGGTGAGCCGCTGGGCGTGGAATGCAGATGTCTACAAGTGGTGCTGTTGCCACTGGGCTATGCCAGCAGGCACGGACAGATCCCATCCCAAGAAGGAGGAAGCAGGTCATCCTGAAGGTGGCACTGGGTTACTTTAAGGAAAACTGGAGTTACTGTTGGGTGTTATCTTTAGGATGAAGATGCCTCTCACTCTCTTACCTTTCACATCGTATCCTGCACTCCCGCTCTAAGAAGCTTTAGTGTCACTGATGGCTGCTCCCTTTCCCCAGGACCTCCAGGACCTCCAGGTATACCTGGTCCAGCTGGAAGAGAGGGCCCTTCAGGGAGGCAGGGGAATGCAGGAGCACAAGGCAAACCAGGCCTAAAAGGAGAAGCTGGGCCCAAAGGTGAGTATGTGTGTCCTTCTGGGAGGCATGAGAAAGAAATGGCAGTGCTGTCCCTGACGCATCCCAGGACTTGCACTGAATGCTGGAGAAGCCCAAACCATCGGCTCTGACTATGGGCCCTTCTGCCCACACCCCCACATTGACAGGATTTCCTGTTACCCTTCACAGAGGAACGCCAGGTAGTAAGGAGTAAGGTCTCCCTGGTTCTCTCTCCCCCTGGAGCTCTGGGTGAAAATTTCCCCCCACCCTGAGGAAACAATAGGAAACAATGAATTCATAGGAAACAATGAATATGTCGTCAGCATGTTCATCCAATTTGTTCCTTCCTCAGGAGAAGTGGGTGCCCCGGGCATGCAAGGATCTGCAGGGGCAAGAGGCCCCACGGGTCTTAAAGGAGACAGAGGTGCCCCTGGTGAGCGTGGAACCCCTGGAAATGCTGGGGCAGCAGGTGAGTAAGGGAAGAAGCTAGGGCAGAGCTCTACATCTCTTGGGTACTGCCAGCCCCCTCCACCACTGCCACCCAACGAGTCAGAGTGGCATTGCTGGGGATGGGGAGAGTCCTACCAAGGAGGGTGCATTGGTGGGCTCTGAGAACTGGGTACATTCGGGAGAGTGGGGTGAGCAGTGGTAAATGGATTATCCCCAGGGGAGGTTGGCTGTTGGATGACAGGGATAGTCAGTGCACGACTGGGTTCCAGTCTATATATGGGGAGGGAATGAGCTGAATAACAGGACAGTTCTTACACTGGGAGGGTGAAAATGTTGGAGAATGTGTATAGAGCGCACCCAACTCTCCTGTTCCCAGGACCACCTGGAGTTATGGGTCCACAGGGGTCGGCAGGTGCCAGGGGCCCCCCAGGACTGAAGGGGGACCGAGGTGCCCCTGGTGACAAAGGAGCAAAAGGAGAGAATGGACTTCCAGGTAAGGTAGCATCCATAGCCATGAGAGCTCCCACTAGGGCACAAGTGGGGAGGACACCCCCCTCTCCCAGATGCCAGCCCCTTCGAATGCACATGGAAGCAGGAAAGGCTGCTGGGCTGGGAGGAGGTTGGTCCTGAGCGACTTCGTCATCTGCTCACCAGGGAAAGCATAGTTCCCTTCTCCATTCACAGGACAACTTTGACCTTCAGTAACCCAGTGGCTGGGGAGTACTTGAGGAACATGTGTTCAAGCCTCCTCCTTCCATATAAAGGATCCCAGAATTTGAAGTTAAAATGTCACCTGGTTGAGAGTCACAAGGTGCAGGGACCTGCTCAGGGAACAACTAGTTCATGGCAGAACCACAGCAAATCTAGAGGGCTGAGGGGCTGGCTGTGTCAGCAGATGTGGGCTTCCTGGGAGTCACTTCCAGTTCCTCCCCTCCCCCTCTCATATGTGCCCGCAGCAGGGCACCCTCCCCTTCAGCTGACCCCAGGTTGTATGGACAAGTCTTCACTCATCCTTTCTTGCCTGCAGACATCACTGCTCTGAGGCAGCAGGTGGAAGGCTTACAGCGACAGGTAAAACAACTCCAGGAGGTCTCCTCTCAGATTGAGAAAGGTGAGATCCTGGGCCTCAACCTGTGGCAGGCACCTGAAGTGAGACCCCAGACTGGGTCTGGGCCCTGGATTGGAATGGGCTGGGAACATATTTGGGGCTCGACCTGGGACTGAGGCAGGCACAGGGCTAAGGAAAGACTGGGACCGAGCATGCAGCCATGTGCTCCAGGATCTGGAAGCAGATGCAAACAGGAAATGCAGCCATGGCTATAGTTTCGGACTGGTGGAAGCATGGCCATGGTTGAGGGCACCTGGCTCCAGTACTCCCTACCCTGCAGCAACACCACCACCTGAAACATGAGACTGATGAATGCCCTGAGCAGGTCAAGAGACCTTCCCCCTGCTTACCCTGTGCTGATCCCATGATAGACAAGGGGACCCTCCAACCGAGGATACATTGCTCACCACTCTGGGGCCAGGTGTGTGAGTGCTCAGAGATGTTACTACACAGCCCAAGGCAACAGAGACTCCAACACCGTCTTGAGAGCTGGGCTGGGCTGCTGCCCTGCTGTGTGACCTTACTGCCCAAGGTCAGTGGGGCCTGACCTAGGTGTATGGTCATCAGGTCTCTCATACCAGACTTGCCCACGGGCCTGGCAGGGGGCAGGCTGCTGCTGGAATCTGGCCAGTGCTGGGCTCTCCCTGTACCCCTCAAAGAGTTAAAGCAGAGATTCTTCCCTAACCCTGGAACCCTGAGGAGGCAGAGGCCTTTGGGAGCACATGCGTGAGGCCCTGAGCCTTTTGGAATCTTTCCCTCAATCTTCAACCGCTTTTCCCTTCTTCTGCTCTCCCTGACCTTAGCATTGTGTGCTCAGCAAATTGTATTCATTAAAAAAGCATTTTCTGAAGGAGCAGAGCCAAAAGGCTCTGCTTTTTTGGTGAGACATAGAGTTGGCTCCTAAGCATGCAAGTCTACCACGTACCTAAGTACCAAGGAGAAGAGCCAAGCATTTGGCATGTCTTCCTCCACCCACAGGCATGTTGGCACAGTCACTCACTCACATGTGCCCTGATGCACCAAAGGATTATGCACACTTAGGCCCCCGCCACATCTGTGAGAACTTCAGAGCCATCATTCACCCCATATGCCTGCATCTATGAGCACACATGTGCACACGCAGAAAGATGCACACACACCCAGTGAGAAACCGCGGAAAGGGAAGTGACCTTTCCCTGGCCCATCTGTCAGTCATTGCCATTATTGCCAGGGTGGGCTGCACCCTGATTCTCAAACAGGCCTCTCTCCATCAGTGACCTCACTCAGAAGCCCTGCAGACTACATTTCCCTTTCCCAAGTCCTTCTGGCTCTTCATAGTAACTGAAAGAACTGTTTCCACCATAGAACATAGGGTGAAACAGAGTGGACATGTCTAAGCTTAGTGTCAGATCAGCCAGGTTTAGTTCTCAACTCTACCTGTGATGGCTGTGTGACTCTGGGCCTCTTACTTAGCCTCTCTGAGTTCCAGTTCCCATCTGCCCCCAAAGACCACAGTGCCGCCTCACAGCGTGCAGGATGGAGCTGGGGCTGCTCTGAACTAAGTGTCTGCCTTTCATCCCAAATGGGGCCCTGTTCCCCCAGGTACAGGTAGAACTATGGTCTCAGCACCCCTGAGCTCTGGCAGGGGCTGCCACACCCCCCACCCCACCTCACTCTTCTCTTCTCCTAGTGGGGCTCTTCCCCAATGGCCGAAGTGTGGGCAAGAAGATCTTCAAGACAGCAGGTTTTGAAAAAAATTTTGAGGAGGCACAGCAGGTGTGCACACAGGCGGGGGGACAGATGGCTACCCCTCGCTCAGCTGCTGAGAACGAGGCCTTGCAGCAGCTGCTCACCGCTGAGAATAAGGCTGCTTTCCTGAGCATGACTGACATCCAGACGGAGGGCAAGTTCACCTACCCCAAGGGGGAGCCCCTGGTCTACTCCAACTGGGTCCCAGGGGAGCCCAACAACAATGGCAAGGCGGAGAACTGTGTGGAGATCTTGACCAATGGCAAGTGGAATGACAAGTCCTGCCAAGAGCAGCGCCTCGTGGTCTGCGAGTTCTGAGTCCAGGGGGCAGGAGGGGGCATTGGGGCCCAGACCCGTGTCCTGCCAACACCCCAATAAAAGCTGACACTTGTGCTCTGAGGCCGGGCTTCCCCACAGAGGTATATGACTGGTCAGGGATCGCTCCCACAGACGCAGTCTCACAGCACAAACAAAACTGGCTTCACGTTCTGGAAGCCCTGCCAGAGAAGGGGCCAGCCTGCTCCCCCTGACGCAGAGGGGAAAATTGAGGACCCAGTGAGTTCTCCTCTGCCTTCCTCCTCCTCCTTCCTCTCCCCGCTCCTCCTCAAATTCCCTTCTTTGCTGGTCCTCATCTCGCCATCCAGGACTCCATCTCTTATCCCTCTGCCTGCTCCTTCTCTCTCTTTGCTAGACCCTCCTCCTCTTTTTGCTACTTAATAGTGGAACCTCAACCCCACCTGACGACTGGTGCCTGAACCTTAACTCTGGGTTCTCCTCTCTCCTTACACTCACCGCAGGGGTGAGTTCATACTGTCCTGTGGCTCCAAATTCCTACTCCAGGCAGATGGCTCCTGCATGAACATCTCCCTGCACCCCAGACCACCAGTGAATGCACACTGCCCCCTGCTCCCTGGGCCGGGAGCCATCAACACAAACCAGGGATCTGGCATAGCGTCTGCCTCCAGTGACCTCCCACACAGTGGACTCCTCATCCCGACACTGCCTGCTGGGTCTGTCCTGTGACTGCCTTGGCTCATGGGAAGGAGCACCAGGCACACAATTCCAACTCCACCTGAAATTTCAGGGTCTCCAGCCACACTTAGACATACCCCAGCCCTCCTTGTCTGGCAGGAATATTCTTTTCCACTCCACCTCAGAGATCATCTAGTCAAACCCTCCTCATTTTATAGACATGGAAACCACAGGAGGGGAGGGGACCTGGGTGAGACCACAGGTAGTATCAGTGCTTAAACTGGGTCATGACAAAGGTCATCTGACCTCAAAGCTTATACATTCAACCTGTAAATTTTTAAGCCAAAGTCCTCTGTAGGTTTAGTAGATTTTTTACTATGGCTTGAGTGACACAGGCTCACAGAAGGGGGCAACAACACCCTTCCCCCCACAGGACACCAGGCACTCTGCCCTTGGTTCCCAGGGTTTTGACTCCTGCTCTTTCTGGCTCTTCAACAGACCCCAAATCCCCATTCTCAACATTCGTGCTGTCACACCCTGCAATACTAAAAAAAGTCCCCAATTCCTGGCAGCTTTGGAAGTATTAATTACACAACAATGAGCAAAGAGCTCTCCAGGGCAAAGGCCACTCTTGGACACACTTGTCGAGGGGTCTTAGAAAGGCCTTTTCCGTGACAAGTAAGAGAAAACAACCAGATCTAATTTAAGCCAAAGAGAAACATTTTTTCCCCTAATAATGGGAGAGTTCCGAACTGACTCAAGAAGATGAGGTCAGAGGGGAGGAGGCAGCATGAAGGCTGTTCCCCTTGCAAATCCCTGTGCCTCTTCCCTCTTTCCTTCCTGCTTCCTCAGCTGCCCAGGTTTAGGGGACTATAGGTCGATGGGTCATAGAGATTGCCACACAGAGATCAGAAACTCAGAACTCCTGTGGGAATCGACCAACCTGTCTCAGATGCTCAGCTGTGGCCCAATTAGCTAAACCCAAGGGTGGGACCACACAGAGTGATGCTGGGACCCAGGTGGGGTCCAGGTGGTCTGACAGACCCTCTAAAAGTGATCACTACCCTTCCCAATGCTTAAGCAGAGCCTGTTTCTTGACAAGAGGGAAAGAAGAGGGGCCCAACTCTGTGGCTCAATTGGAAGAAAAGAAAACTGCCCGTGGGGTTGAAGGCCAGGAATGCTGGCATCCACACCCGAGGGGGAAATATCAGACCCACCTGCATATGGACCATGGGGCTGGTTCGCTCTCCAGCATGAGAACAAGTAAGGAGGGTGGGCTCTGTACACTCAGCCTAATGAAAGAAGAGAATCAGTATGAGTATCTCAGAAAATTCGCGTCCTAACCCGTCTTGAACACACAGGCCTCTCCTGTACTGTAATATTCACCGGCAAAGGTCAACACAGATCTTAATTGGTATCAGCCCACCAACCATATACAGCCAGTTAGTAGCCTACATGCCAAGTGAGACCAGGAGTGACGCTTACATTCTCAGGAGATGTCATAGTCCTTAATTGCCGGGTGACAACATGGGGAGCAGCCTGGGATCCTACATGTCTGGAAGCGGGGGTGGGTGGGTGGGGGGCAACCACAGCAGTTTCATAGGGAAATCCCTGTTCAGTTTTTTTTTTTTTAAGATTTGTTATTTATTTATGCATTCAAGAGCTGGGGTACAGGCCAGAGATGAGGGGGTGTGTGTGTGTGTGTGTGTGTGTGTGAGAGAGAGAGAGAGAGAGAGAGAGAAGAGAGAGAGAGAGAGAGAGAGAGAGAGAGAGAGAGAGAGAGAGAGAGAGAGGATTCACCAGAGACAGAGTGGGGAACAGAACAGGCAGACTGATGAAATACACTGCTGATGGGAGCAGCAGGCAAGACAGAAGTCTACTGAGCCATGTGGATTGCTCCCTGGCTGGCCAGGGATCGAACTCGTGCTGCAGAGGCTGTGGATTGCTTCATAGTATGGTGCTTAACCCCTTGTGCCACCAGGCAAACCCCCCTGTTCAGTTTAATAGTATTTCCTCATGCCTCCTCCTGGTTCTCAACCCTCCTGTTGCCAAACCAGCCCACATCCCCATGACGAGCCAGTAGGGAGCCCTCTAACACCTGTCAGCATTCTAGATCCCCTTGTTCTAAAACACTGACCACTAAGTTGCATAAGTTCAGGGCATTTTCAACCACTCTTGCCTTCTGGCTGTCGTTATATCAAATTTAACGGTCTGCTGACTTTCCCAGTTACCTATATTTAATTACTAAAGCAAAGAAACCAGGTGTCTGTCAGGGGGGATAAAATATTCATTCATATGTCAAAAATCTATTCAGGACCTGGGTATGGTCACACCCTCATAGAAGCCACAGATCCGTACCTAATACTAACTATAAGCCAGAGAACTGTGTTCTAGCCGAGGCCGATAGAGGTGCTCAGCTAGCAGGTTCAGGATGAGGGGATGGATGTTAAAATCCTCTTAGCAGAACCACCAAGCTGCTCAGAGACCAAAATACACCTTATTACCATTCAGTCTAGTTGTCTATGACTATTAGGCCTCCACAGGGCTAATAGCAGGTATCTTGTGGTGGATTTTGCTGTTTTTCGCCACTGTTTCGATGAGAGGCCTTATGAAGCTGGCATTGTCCTGTGATGTGTCACTTTTGAGTACAAGCAGATGGGGGCCACTGAGTTACATCTGAGATGCCTGCTTTTTGCTTCTGTGGTGAATATGAGATATGGGTAAATATGAATTTGATATGCAATCCAGTTTGGGGGAAACTGAACAAGTGCATGGAAGACAACTGCCCTTGGAGATCACCTGGATCCACTTTGACTTTGGGGTTCTTACTACAGCATACCAGCCCATCCCTACTGGATACTTTGAAAATGTTAACATATTTGACTTCCATTTACTGGACAGTATAGTCTTTCCAGATTGGCTGAAACAACTTTGAACCATGGAGGGATTCATAAGGACCCTGCCTGAACAAATTGGTACTTTTCATATTTATTAATAGAATTAATGGAATGAATAAATGAAAGAGTTGAGTGAAAGTGTTTTTTTAATGATGAATAACTACTTTTAAAAATTTTTTCTTATTGAAGTAACATTGGTTTTCATTCCTACTTATAAGTCTGTTTGGAGAACTGCATAAAGTGTTTTCAAGATGTTTCCAGAAACTTTGGTCTGAGGAAATAGTCCTTTGACCTCGTTGCCAGCCTTCCTGCACACTGATGAATTCAAATGGAAGTAGCTGGGGCCAGGCCAGGACCTGCGGTCAGATGGCAGCTTCAGACCAAGCACATGAAGGACCTGAGGGCACCCACCAAAGGGGATGCCCTGAGCCTGGTCAGTGAGCCCAGCAAAGTCACCTCCACAAGAATCCCGGGGTTGCTTCTATCAGCTGGACTTTCAGGAAGCCCAAGAACAGAGTCACAACACAGACTGACAGCTGGTGGCACAGCAATGTCATCTCCATTTGAGACCTGAAGGAGATCCTACCATCCTTCTGTGTGTTGGGCTCTGCGGTGCCCAATGGGTCTCAGGGCAGTCTCTCAAGTGTCCTTAGTTACAGGTGCTCAGCCTGAGTTCTGTGCTTTTGAGAGGAAGTGGGGTGATCACAAAAATCACAAGTAAACACTTAGCAATGTTCTCCAAAAGCACCTGATCCAGATAAAAGTCCCGATTTTCCATCTGCTGGTGATGGGGGGTGGGGGCGCAAGTAGGGTGGGGATGGGAAGTGATGAGTGGGGGAGGGGGCTGAAATTAATTTTAACTGGATTTCAGAGAGATACCCAGAAAGCCATTGAGGGAGTCTAGGAAGAAGCCCACAAATCCAGCCTCTGCAGGGACAAGAGCAGTCCTGTTCTCGAGGGGATCCTGAGCGTGTTCTCCCACAGAGATCTGAGAAGGGCAGATGAGGAAAGTGGGGGTGGCACTGGGGTACTCTAATTAAGAGGTCACAGTCTAGGTTTGAAAATGAGAGGGACACAAAGACAAGGAGCAGAGAGCACCGTGCAGAGGGCTGGCTGAGACTGAGGGCACTTAGGGATCCAGCGTGCTGGAGACCTGTGCTCACCCAGTGGGATCCGGCTTTGCAGGGGCAAGTTAGGAAAAGCACCCTAAGTGGGTGCAGCAACCCCAAGTGGGTGCAGAGGGGAGGGGAGGAAAACAGGAACGTCTGAGTGGCAGATTAGGGGCTCATGGGGCTCCACCACTCACTAGGACCCAACTTGACTATCTCTTGCGTTTGCAAGGCCTGTCTTATAGATGACCAGGAGAGGGCAGCACAAGGCCACAGCTGCTGCGGCAGTTATCCAAGTTAACCAGTTATGCAAGAAAGGAACTGTGCCCAGAGCATTATATCAAAATCAGTTTGACTGCTTTAAAAGAAAAGCAGAATCCAGCCTAGAGCTGAGTCAAGTCATTTCCAGAGAAGGGAGATGAGTCACGTATTTTTGGAGAGGACTGAGATTCAGTCATTCATTTGTTGATTTATGTATTCATTCAACAATTATTGAGTGTATATGTGGGCTTCCAGCCCTTTCCTAGGTCCTGGGACTGCAAAGGTGAAGGACATGGTCTTGTAATCATCACAACAACAGCAAAAGCATAGAGTTACAGGGCATTTCCTGCAGCCCCATGTTATCCTGAGTGCCTTACCTGTATCTGTTCTTTTATCCCTCACAACAATCCTGTAGGGAGGACACTGCTATTATCCAGTTTTATGAAGAAGAGAGCTAAAGCACAGAGAGTGTATGTGACTTGCCCAGAGTCACACAGCTGCAAAGTGGTGGAACTAGAGCTTACATCCAGCCAGTCTGACTCCAGAGTCCTCTAAATGACTTTGCTAAGTGATGTAACTCAAACAAGTAAGTGGGAAAGATGATTTCAGATGACTATTGCTCATTAGAAAATGAAATCGGACGCTGTGATGGTAACTGAGGCAACCTTAGATTCAGTGGTCAGCTAAGGACTCATAGGGAAAAAATTGGTGACATATGATCCAAGACTGGCAGGCAAGGAAGATTATATTAGCACCCAGACCATCTCTAGGGATCCCTGCACACAGCTCAGGGTCACTTGTGGACCCTTTTGTCCATTTTCAAGCACCCACATATCTCATGTAGCACCCCTGGAACCACGTGGAAACAGTGCTTCTCAGGAAAGGGTGTGAAGAGACATAGACTGGGGGACAGCAGAGGCTGAGTCCCCTAAAAGCAGAAGGCTGAGAATTTCAAGCATTGGGTCTGTTGATTTCCATGCACATACGCACACACAAAATCATACAAATACCCCTAAACCCATGTCCACACAGTTCCCCACTCAGTTTCTTATTCCTCCCCACCCCCCCGCCTCCCCTGGGCCTCTGTTTCAGGCCCTAGAGCTCCCTAGAACTATCCATAGGAGACAGTAAGACACAGGAGACAGTAAGATCCTGAAATGTATGGGGTAGTATTTGGGTCAGTGTATGATTTTATTGTTGGGACATTGATAAATTGAAGGAGATTATTTGTACACTATAAAGTTAAGCAACAACCCTCCCCCACCCATTCACATATGAAGGTCTTGTAAGGAATGGACAAGCCTGGTCTCCTATCTCTAGGGTCACTCTGCAAAAGGAAGAGGTGGGTAGAAAGCCTTGGCAATGACTATCTTTCTTGGGGCTGTGGTCTCCCCAAATTGCCAAATATCCAGATCACCTAGGGACCTCAAAAAGATGACAGGTTTCTGAGATTTTGATTCACTGTGTCCAGAGTGAAGCCAAGGTCCTATGGTTTTGTTAAGCATTCCAGGAAATTTTGCTGATTCCTAATCTGAAATGCTACATGAATGGCACAGCCCTCTGCTTGCCAAAACAGGCCAGGATGGACCTGGGTTTGGCAGTTACTAACCTAATCCTAGCCATTTGTCTAGCTAACAAATGGCTACTTGCATCCCACTTCTTTTGCACATGACCCTGCATTTGACTGGACCACTGGTCGTGATGGGAGAGAGACACTGTCTCCTACCCACCCAGGTTGCCACCAGGGTTGGCTTCCTCTTAGCACTGAGCACTGGAAGGCCTGAGTGCTCCATCAGTCACTCAGGGTCACTAGAACAACATCACTTAACAGAGTGCACTTCCTGACATCTCCAACTCAGGCCCCGTGATGATGTTTTATCATTTCTGGCTAACAAGGGGGGAAAAAAAATCCCTGGTTCCCGGCAGTTTCCGAAACACAGATGAATTACACAATAATGAGCAAACAACCTCCCAGGTCAGAGTCTCATGGCCATGATACATACATCAAGGGTGCAAGTTCAGGGTCTCACTGTGACCTTGGTGCTGGTCTATCTCTGACTGCCCCAGAGAAGGAAGGTAGGTTGGTCCTGGACAGAAAACACTTTGAAGAATGTGAATACTGCACCTTCAGTTGGGACCCCAAATCGCCTCTGACTTGGGCATGGATAAAAGTGAGAATAGCAGAGCTGTGAGACTCAAAAGAAAGACTGTCCTGCAGGAGGAAGGCCTGCAATTCTAGGATTCAGACATAGACCAACAGCCTGGGCCTTGAATGTTGCAGACTCTGGTAGTTGCAGTTATACTGGCCCAGGCAGCAAATTGTATTCACATTCTGTATTTCCGCAGAAGACCATTGACTTACTGATATGATTTAAATTCAGAATCTCCACCCCAGAGCAGGATGTATTTGCCATTCAAAGTTTGTGGAATGGCACAAATTTTCTATGGGCTTGTGAAATAGGTTATAAAGTTTTAGGCCACAAATAATTTTAGTTCGTACAAAATTGACTGGTAGCATAACCGAAAACGGTTCTCAGATCCTGCAGTTTTGCTCCTGAAATGGGCTCTGTGGGTTTGAAACTGCATATGACCATTACTTCATCCAACTGAAGAAGGAAGAAATCTTTACAGATCAATTTATAGATAAGGAAATAGAGATCCAGGGAGCTAATCAGTGAGAATTGGTGCATTCGTTAGAGCGCTGACCTCAACAAACTCCCTGCTTCTAAATCTTGAACCTCCCCCTTTCTCCCCCTACCCCCACCGCCTCTCCTTCAGCCCAGCCATGACACACAGAGACCCAGGCCTTGTTCCACCGGGGTGTGACCCCAGAGTTAGGGCCCAGGCTCCACAGAGTCCAGACACCAGCTTTCTTGCCCGGAATACTGTGAGGCACAACCTTCAAGTTCTTAAACTTTGCAAGAAGAAGCAAAGGAAGATGGCAGCTCAGCTTTGGCTACCAGCTCACTGGTCCCAAACCAGTGTGGCAAATGATATGGCAGAGATTCTTGTTCCCTCCGAACAAATAGTGGGGTTCAAGAGGTTGGGTGGAGTCATGCCCAGTCCTGAAGTACCCAGGGGAACGGGTTCAAAGTTCTGACTTTGGAGTGCCAGACTTCACTATGTTCCTGTGCAAGAGATGCCAATCATCATTCCTCCCTTAGTAAATGAAACCACCTGCCTCCTGCCAAAGGAAGTGGGGATGGGAAAGGATAGTCCCCTTGAAACCACAATTTCCCTCTTGTTCTAGGTCCTGAGAGGCCCAGGGAACGATCTTTGGTTGCCCATAAAAATCCTGTATCTTTAGATGAATTCCACCTTCTTCTAAGCTAACTTGATTATGGTCCCTCTGCTTATTGATAAGAGTTGGGAAACAACTATATGGAGGCGGGTACCTCAATTCCAGAAAGAATGGTGGTAAGTACATTCATTTTGAGAGTGGAGCTCTGAAAAGCTTTTTGGATGTTAGATCAGGGAAAGAACAAGCTCTCCCCACCTAAGACCCCGGGAGAAGACTTTACACCCTGCAAGGCGGACCAAGAGAAAAGAAAATGAGCATGGTTCTAAAAGGGGGATTCTGCAAGGGCAAGTTTGGCATCTTGAGCAGATAAAAAAAAAAAAACAAACTCTCAGAGCAGGAATGTGAGAGTGCTCTCATGATTGAAGAATGTAGGGTGTAGGGAGCACCAAAGAAGGAACTAGAAGAGGAGGTCTGAAAGGGGAATGCAGATTTTTATTGTGTTTCCCTGACAGAGGAGGCAATTATCATACCCTGGAAAGAGCCTGCAGGGAGAACAAGGGTGTATTGCTACAGTTTTACAGCTAAGGGTACTTTTTTTATGTATGGAGTGAAACAGGATGCATTCATCTCTCCTGGGACATGGGAGAGAACCTTAACCTTGTATTCATGTTTCAGAATCCAACCCACTAAGCCAAGTGGTAATTCTTTGGTGTACCCCTTCAGGAAGTACTCATCAAGCACTTAATGCAGAGGAGAAGCTCTCTCTGGCAGTTGAGATAAAAAAAAAAAGAACCAATAAAATGGAAAACTAATTTTAACAAAAACATTTCATTTCGCTAAGCTAAAGTAGCCCTTGGCCAATTCATGAAATAGTTGCCAATCTCATTTTCCATATGGCACACACTGAAGTTAGAATTCACTCTTCCTTATGACTCCATGGGCTGCATTTAATTTCAGCTTCACCCACCTTGAGATTGCTGACAGACACCCATGGCTCTGAGCACGGCATCAGCACCCTCTTTTATTTGCAGGATGAATGATGATGTAGCCAGCGTGTGAAACTCACATGGGGGAAGGGTTCCTCTTATCTCTAATAATAATGGACCTGTGGTACTGTGATGGGATGAGGATGTCACAGAAGGAAGGACACTGCTGGGTGTTAGTCTGGTAGCAACAGGTTTTCTGGTGTGGCTCATGAACAGCTGAAAAAAACACCCATGTCGTAGACATGCTGAACCAGCCATGGGGAGGAAGTCAAGCAGGAGAGGTTGGTATCAAGTGGTAGCAAGAGGAAAAAGGAAATGGCTGATCGTGACTGCCTACCCAGACACAGATGTGACCCGCCACTGGACCCCCTGCTGGGCACTTTCCATGGGTGATTCTGACCCATGTCTTGGACAGGACAGAAAGTGCCCTTTATCATGGACTGGACCCAAGACCCCTGTTGGTTTCTTCTCATTTCCTCATCCCATACTCAAATATATTCCCCTCATTGTCCTCCCCGTGAAGGAATGAGTCAACACTGGATGTGGGAAAGCCGGCATTGAATTCTCTTTCAGGGCAGCAGGGAGCCGGGAAGGCAGCTGAGGGAGCTGCCTCTTCAGACTGGGAATTCACAGACAACCTGGAAAGAGGAGGAGCAGGAGATGTCATTCCACATCCCATCCTTTTTATGCATGATCACACAGTCCTCCCCTGAGCCAAAGTCATTCGGTTCCTCCTTCTTCCAGTTGCTGTAGGTTATCCTCTCTCCTGTCAGATACATGAACTGCCCTTCTGTCTCCCCATCTGTGATGCCCAGGAAGGCAGTGTCTGTAGCCACGGCCTGGATGGCTCGGTTCTCCTCGGCATTCCTGGGTGTGGCCACAAAGGCTTGGAGATTTGCACACACAGACTTCACTTTGGAAAAAGGCATCTTTTCACCATTGGTCACGTAGAATTTCTTTCCAGATTGTTTGCCCAGGGAGAAGGCTTGCACTGAAATCACAAAATGATGTGTGAGGGTGTGAGGTTGACTTGACTTGGAGCCCAGCCCAAGACAGGACGTGAAAAAGCCCTGTGAAGGAATTCAGGACTCTAAAAAAATAGCCTCAAGCTCAACTACTTCAGGTCAGATCCAGTAAAGACTCTCCTTAGTTGGAAAGCAAGTCCCTGCCAGAAAGTCTGGACTCTCCTGGGATATCACACCCTTGAGACAAACATCTGTAAAAAACTGTCCCAGCACAGGAAGATGCAGGGAAACTGCTCGGCCCCACTGCCAGGCTTGGGGCCCTGTAAGAAAAGGGGCCGAATGACTGCCCCATGAGCAGTGAATGCTGAAGGAGTAAGGTTCTGGAGACAGCAACATTCCATGCCATCCTTCCTCCCTGTGGGAGCTTGAATCAATTGTCTACACTTTCTGGACTTTTTTTTTCCCCTCACCTGTAGTTAAAATGAGTATAATATGCAAGAATAGGGTTGGTGAGGGTTGTCAAATGAAACTGTATTGTGAGAAATGCCAACCTAGCCCAGGCCCTGGTATCTCACATGTTCATAATTGTTTGTTCTCTTCCACTTTCCCTCAAACCCAGAGCGCTCTTACGAGAAAGCTGAGAACTAAGAACACATTGGGGGCAGGGAAAAAACTTACATTTTCTTGTGTATTCCAGTTCTGATTTCAGGCTCCTTATCTCTCGCTCTAAGTTAGCTAACTTAGCCTCGGCATCTACAAAGCAATAAGGAGAATGGTGTTTATTGAGAAGACCCTAAGTGGGAGAGCAAAATATTTTGCTCTGTGTATGTACACACTAGAAAATAAGCTTATTCCAGAAAAATAAGAAAACAAAAAGAAGCAAAAGGAAAATAAATGGTATTACTGTCTTCTGAGCTATATATACTCTGGTAAATTATAACTCTGGAACTGATGGTGATAATAATATTAATGATAATAATAGCAGCAACAACTCAATAATATTAATGATAATAATAACAGCAACAATGATAATAATAACAGCAACAACAACTCTCTGTATATCCTTTTCTTCATATAATGCTTAAACATTATAATTACTAAGAAGAAAATGTTCAATTTTTATTCTCATTTTAAAAATATTTTCTCCATCATCCTCTCTCATTTTCTTATTCCAGGCAAGCTCTTTAATACTTTTATGATTTTGCTGGGCCTGTGGATACATATTAATAAGAGGTCATGATTTTTCTTTTGTTGTTACTGAGTTTATTTTACTCTCAACTAGGTTGCTATGATGTCCCCCATTATCCAGGGCGCCTACGAGGCTGACCATTTTCACGCCACTCTTGTGACAATAGACATGAACCTGGGAGGCCCTCTTCCCCCTCCCTCACTGCCTAGAGCCGCACGGGGAACTGGATAAGAACCAGAGCCCATCTCCTGCAGAGGTCTGGGCAGAGATGGCTTGGCAGGGCCTGGAAATCTGGATAGTGAGACCTCAGTTCAAGCAGTTGACAGGTTCTTGAAAACAGCAATTTTAGGGCTTCCCTGGTGGCACAAGGGGTTAAGCATAGCACTGTGAAGCAATCGGCAGCCTCTGTACCACCAGTTCGATCCCCGGCTGGCCAGGGAGCTACGCACATGGTGCAGCAGACCTCTCCTGACTCGCCCGCTGCTTCCCTCAGCAGTGTATTTCAGTCACTCTGCCTGTTCTGCTTCCCCACTCTGTTTCTGGTGAATCCTCTCACCTCCCCCCACCTCTGGCCTGTACCCCAGTTCTTGTATGCATAAATAAATAAATCTTTTTTTTTAAAAAAGAAAGAAAACAGCAATGTTAGGTGAAACAACATAAAATGAAACCAACTTTACCATAAGTTGATTGATAAAAGCAAGAGTTAAGTTCCTATTCCAATGGGCCTTGGAATATATGGAGTATATCTGGTCACAAAAATATCACCAAATTTATAAAGACCCCAAACACTTGTAATATTAAACAATAATTTGTATTTATTCATTCATTTTCCAAATCACTGATTCCAGTGTAGGGTCTCAGGTGGCAGAGCCCATCCTGGCAGCTGAGGGTTCAGGGTGGGACCCAACTGTGGACAGGACACCCTTCTGTCTCTCTCTCTCTCTCTCTCTCTTTCACACATACACACACACACACACACACACACAGGGACAATGGAAACAAACCAAAGAACCTAAAGCACACATCTCTGACATGTGGGAGGACAAGGGAGTACCGAGAGCGAGCTGGTATGGACGGTATGGACATAGGGAGAACATGCAAACACCACAGAGTGGCTCCTTCTGGGAATCAATTTTCTGCCATTAACATGACAACAAAACAGCATTGAACAAAGGTTTTATTCAAGGACCTGCTGTACTCAGTATCCACTGGTGAATCCCTTCAGGCTCCAAGTAGTGATGAAAGGAATGCCATGCTGGGTCAGGAAGCAGAGCTGAGCATCCCCGCTGGGGCAGCAGAGGGAGCACCTCCCACCTGTCTCTCAAGTTCCCCGGGTCTGGGTCCCTCAGCCCACACCATGCTAGTGTGAACTCCTCACCTGAACTGCTTCCAGGATCTCCTTTGATACCCTTTGGTCCTGGAGACCCCATAACTCCTGGAGGCCCCATTTTTCCTGGAGGGCCCTGTAAGCCTCTGAGTCCTTGTCCTGATGGAAGGTGAAAGAAAAGTGACCCAAGGATTATTGACATTGTCTTTCTCCAAAATCTCAATTACTTGACTGATATTCACATCAGGAAACCACTGGTGAACCAGAGGTAACCCAAGGCAAAAAAGATGTCCTGTAGCCCAGCAGACGGCCTGTCTCAAGGCCCAGCTCCCTGGAGACAACCATACACCACCCATTCCAGCATGGAGATGTGGATTCCTGGAACCTCAGAGAAGCTTCGGTGTTTTGGAGAGAATGACTCACACACAGGAATCACTCTGAGTGAATCATCCTCTGCCAGAATGAGCCATGAACCTCTGAGCGCCTCTGTGTTAGATCCCTCATATGGAACAGTCTCTGCTGGGGCCAAAGTCAGAGCAACCCGCCATGTACCTGGCTCTCCCTTTTCTCCCTTGGGCCCATCTCGCCCATCTCTGCCTGGAAGGCCACAGTTAATCACTGAACAGGTCTTCTGAGCATCCTCATGGATTTTGACTTCTGAGCGCGATGCTGTCACCACACACAGAAGGAAGACAAGGAGTGAAGACAGGAACATGGTCCTTACCTCAGAGGGGAGAAAGTCAAGAAAATCATCCATCTCATCTTATTCAGCCAACATTTGCTACCCCCTCTGGTGTGGGGTGCTGGGCCCTGTGTGAGGGGCAAACACAGAGGGGAGCAGCACACACCTCAATCCTGAGTTACTCCCAGGCCACTAGGGGGACAGACAAGTAAAGCGTTTTCGAGTTGGATAGGTGCAAAAATAGGAGCAGATGCGAGAGTGATCTAATAGGGGCAGCCCTGTGAGTGCCGGCTCAGGGAGTCAGGCAGCCCCTGCATGAGAGCCACGGGTCTGGAGTGGACAGACTGCTCTGTTCCTGAGTAGAGCAGTGGCCTGGGGCACAGGCAATGGGGGTTCGTGGCAGCTCTGAGCTCTGGCTCTTTGCTTCCTCAACTCCTTTTCTTTTTCTTTTTTTTTTTGTGGGACCCTCGCCAGAGGCCGGGGAACTAACAGGTGCTGCAGAGGCTGCAGGCAGCCTCACAGCCCAGCGCTCAACCACTGTGCCACCTGGGGAGGCCCCCTCAACTCCTTTTCTTGAGGGCCAAGGGAGCCTCTGTTTTCCTCTTGTCCCTCTTCCAGTATATCCAAGAGCTGGACTCAAATGAAAGCAGGTGATCTGAGATACCACCAGGCTCACTTCCTAGCAGGACCCAATTCTAACACCCGTTCTTTCATTTCCCTTAGAAATCTCTGATTATACTCGAGCACCCCAGCTTTCTCAGAAGCCAGCTATTTCGCCAACAGTCTGTCAATCATAAATATATATAATATATATATGACTAACATACTGACAGCAAGTGCCTGTCACAGTATACATATATGTGTACGTATGTATGTGTATATGTATATACATATGCATGTGTAGTGTGGCAGGCACTTGCTTGAGCTCAGAGCCCAGAATGAAGAACTCTCTGAGGCAGGGTTCCAACTCTCAGAATGGAACCTTCTTTGATCATGGATCTTGGCCAGATGCGACTTATATTTGCCTCATTTCTTTGGTGTGAGATTTTTTCCTGAGAGACCCTTATTTATCAGCCAGATCCAAGCTCCTAAAACTTATCTCACCCTCACGGGATATCAGCTCCTCCTCTTTCTCCTGGCAGGGTTCTCTACCTGCTGTCCATGTGTCTCCTCAGCCTTTGCTCAAGCTGGCCCCTCTTTCAGGGAGCCTTGCAGCCCAGTCCCTATGGTGTCCCTCTGCTCCCCTCTGGCCTCTAACCCAAATGTCTCTGGGCCTTGCTGCACTTGTTACCCTGGCCTGTCAGCTCCCTTAACCATCCCTCCCCCAGGACTCAGAGAAGCAATGAGTTGGAAGGGAACTTTCTGGATCACATTCTTTTCCACTTTTCCTCTTTCTCTCTATTTAGTTAACCTCCCCTGATATGCTGGAAGCCAATATCAGGGTACACACATGTTGCTGACATATGCACCCTCCTTCCATTCTTCCCTTTGACTGAAAAGACCTTTAGTTAACAGATAGTCAAGCGGATCCAGTAAGGACACAAGTGACCCAGGTCATAGAAACAAAGGTCCTGAGGGGGCCTAATTACCCCACAAAAACCCTAGCCTGGACTTTGCCAGGATCAAGCCAAGTGATCAGACTCTTGGTCCAGCCCCCACCTCCCCCAGACCCGTCCTCCAGAAATGACTTACTAGGGCCTCTTCAGAGCACAGAGGCTGTAGTAGGGTAGCTGGTCCTCCAGCCCAGACTGCTGGCAGATGCCTCAGCGACGTCAAGCCCAGTTAGCCTGGTGATAAGGGAGGGTGCTGGACTGGCCTTCAACCCCAGATTAATCAACAACTATACTTAGAACTACTGCATCCTGGGCAGTGCTCCAAGCTGCTGTGGGTTCTCCAGCACAGCACAGGCACCTTTCCACTTTAACACCCTAAACTCCTCTTTATACTACCCCTCCCTTGCATCCATTTCTACATCTTGGCAATACTGATCCTTTAGGATTACAGCTTCTCAGGATAGTTCTCTCCAGAAATTTATTTCTAGAAAAGCTATGCATCAGTGTTTTGCCATATGAGCACACACTTGCATGCACACATGCATAGTGGGATCAGTCGTCTTGACTAGCTTACCCTTACGTTGCTGTTGACTTCTGAGTTTAATAGGGAGAAAAAGAAGGAATTAAAGATCTGCTACATTGAGTCATCTCATTTCTCCCTTCTTACTCAAAATATGTACCAAGTGTCTTCTCTGGGCATGTCACAGGGCTAGGCTCAAGGAGAAGTATTTGTAGATGACTCAATTCAAAGCTGAATGTGGGCATTTGTCTGGTCTACCCTGACTTGCCCTGCCCTCTATCTTTGCATAGTCTTTGTCATTCAATTTTCTGCTTAAATATTAGAGAATTGTAATTCTCTGTTCTAAATTCTATGCCTATAGTTTATCTCTATGTAAAATTGTCTTATTTATTTGCTTGTAAACTTATTGACCACCCTCTCCTTTAGAACAGGATTTCATTAGAATAGGGCTCGTTGTGTTCTGACCAGGAAGTGCCTGGAAACAGAGTCAATGTTCAATAAATATTTATGGAACAAATAACTCCTCCATCATCATGTGCTCAAAGCAGCCCTTTGACTTCCCTCCGGCCAGAGCCAACATGTGTGCTCATTTTCCCGCCATTTTTACTTTATCAGGGCAGGAGCTGTGTGATTCGCTTCCTTGTCTCTAGGGTACAACCCAGGGTGGGCACATAGGAAAAATTGGAGAGAGAGAGTGAGGTGAGAGGCAGAGACCATAAGCAGGAGCAGGTAAGCCAAGGGTTCCTCCATGCCTGAGTTTCCAGGACTGTCCAGTTCTTATCACCAGACCCGGTCAAGTGGCCTTTTTCAAGTCCTTGAAGTGACCTTTGATCCTATCCTCCCCCCAACTTAAACTTACTCTTTGAGCACTTAGTTTCACCAAACAACTCAAGAGGTTTGCTTTCACCCTAGTGGGAAGCAGGGGCTGAACCAATGACCCTTGATGCTGCCTTGGGATTGGTGTTTTGGCTTCTCAAGGGCCATTAACCCTGTGTACTCAAGGCACCATGCCCTGGTCAGCAGCTGTCCTAGGTTCCTATTATAAAGGAGGCACTAAAAGGGACCCATTGTTAAGAAGACCCCTCTCAGGGCTGTGTTTCCTGGTAGCATTGACACAACCATAAAGGACTCAGGCTCAAAGGACAAAGAACAGCAGGTGGGCAGACTTCCAAGAAAAGTGGGAATTTGATACTGAGAGATTTACATGAAACTAGCACTCTATGTGTGCTACTGACTTAGAGATTTGACCTCTAATGACAAGAGAAACAAAAGCAGAAATAAACAACTGGGGCTATACCAAACTAAATAACTTCCACAGAATCAAGGGAACAGCTACCAAATGAAAAGGCAAGCTATTGAATTGGTGAAGCTATTTGCAAATGACACATATGATAAATAAAGGGTTCACATCCAAAAACTCTTATAAGTCAGTCATAAAAAAATTGAAAAATAAGTAAAGGATCTGAATAGACACATTCTGAAGAAGATATAGAGCTGGCTAAGAGTCACATGAAAAGATGTTCAATATCACTAATTACTAGGGAAATCAAATCGATTTAGAATGGCTATTATCCAAAAGATAAGAAATAACAAGTATTGGTGAGGGTGTGAAGAAAAAGTATCCTGTTGGTGGGAATGTAAGTTAGTATGACCACTATGGAAAACAATTTGAAAATGCCTCAAAATATTAAAAATAGAACTACCATATGTTCCAACTCTCAATTGCGGATATTTATCTGATGAATACGAAGATGCTATTTCAGAAAGGTATGTTCACTGTAGCACCTTTTACAGTAGTCCAGAGATGGAAACAACCGAAGTGTCCATTGTGGGCGAAGGGATAAAGAAGCTGTGAATATATTTATGCCAACTGAATACTATTGGGCTATAAAAAATAATGAAATCTTGCCATTTGAGGACCTTGAGTGTATTATACTCAACTGAAATCAGTGAGATTGAGAAAGATAAATACCATGTAATTTCACTCACATGGGAAAAACAAAACGAAAACAAACCCAGCGATACAGAAAATAGATTGGTGTTACCAGAAGGGAAGGGGATTGTGGGTGTGTGAAATGGACAAAGGAGTCAGCCTGTAGTGTAAAAAGATGTTGAATTATAATGCAGGACACCTGCAATTTATATGTTATAAACCAACATTATCTCAATAAAAAAGGAAAAAATGTAAATATCATAGAAACAGGCAATATTTCTGTTAACTGAAAAGGAAATTATATATTCATAAAAAACAATCAATTATATTTAGGGAAATATTTGACTCCAAAAAGATAGTTGGATATAAGATGAGGAAAAAAATAAGATCAGCAAAAAAAAAAAAAAATGTTTTCATATAAATGGACAATAATTTAAATGTGATAAAAATAATACAGTATAAATAAGAAATAAAGCCATAAAGTAAAGTAAAAATAAACTTAACAAGAAATGAGAAGGCATCAATTTATGGAAGTGTAGAATCCTCCTCTATACAATAAGGAAAATATGTTTCTCTTTTTTTTTCATTTGGGGTATTTCTTGTTAATTTGTGTTCTGAGCCCTAAGCACATGTGGCAGGATGAACAGATTACAAATTAGCCCTCATAAAAGAATGAGAAATTTTTCTGCTCATTCTGATCTGACTTTATGGGTTTTGACCTAGATCTTCCTCTTACCCAAGAACACACAGTAGGGGGAAAGTTCAAAGATGTGGAGGTGGAAGAGGTGGGAACTTTCTGGAGATGGGACGCTTATATGCTTGCCTCCTTGAGCAAGGAGGGACATGGTCTAATTCCTCTATGGCCCTGGGCCCTGGGGCTATTCCATGCAGATCTGAGACTGAGGGGGCTTGTGAGGCTGGGGTCAGAACCTTGGATGCAACCACTGCTGGGCTGCAGAAAACATCCAAGTGGTTAAACGGGAAAGGGAGGGCTGGACATGACCACAACAAATGGACCATGTGACCTTAGTGCCAGCACCAATACTGCTGTGACATGTTCTTCCAGAAGCCTTCTGTAATGCCCACCTGCCATACAACCTGGGGTTGGAGAGCAGGTTGCCCTCCCACCAATTCACTGGCATATGTGCCTCCCATTCAGTGGCATATGAGCCACTGAATTTTCCATTTTTCAGTTAAGTGAGGGCTGATTTATAAAAATACAAAAATGTGACATAACCAAAGCCATGGAAACTCATGTTAACATGTTCATAATTTATTATACAGAAATCATCAGTCCAGTGAGAGGTGAGGAGGTTATGAACATGAGGTCCAGGTAGATGGGTTTGAATCCAGCTTCTGCCACTTGCTGCATGTAATAGAATTAATAGAACGTAACAGAAAAACATTTAACTTCTCAAAGCTCCCACATCCTCACATCAAAAATGGAGAGACTAATGCTGATTAAATAATATTTAATAAGATGTATTAGAAGTGCATTTCTAAGGTTCTTGGAACAAAGTATATGCTCAATAAGTAGCCAGCGGTGTGGTGAGTGGGGTGGACACCTCCCTGAAGTGTGAAGTCGTGTGGGGATATGCCCATCAGCAGGAGGTCATTTGTGTTATGTTCAGGTGGCAGGTTAAGATCTTTCCTACAGGTGTAAACTGGCTGCTTTTAGGTCAGGGAGATGAATCGACACCCCAGACTCAAGGAAGTGAATAGTGCATGTCAGCTACTTGGTTTGGGTTGGCCACCACCATCCTGGGGACCACTTGGCCCTCTCACCTCACAGAGTCACTGGCCAGGTGTGCTCCCCGAGGCCCAGGCTACCAGATAATCCCAAATATGTCCTGAGTGCCACACATTTGGGATTTCCCAGAAGTCTGGTTGTCCCTATCATGATATTTAACCACCACTGCTAAATCTTGATGAGGAGAAGCAGGCCATGGGTTTCAGAGAATGAATAGGGGGGACCAGGAAGTGTGATTCTGGAGGGACTTCCATCCCAGGACCTCAAAGTTGCCTTAACACAAAGAGGAAGAAGGACGTCTCCATCTCTTGCCAAAGGGCAAAGTTGGGTGAGTGGCCTAGAGAAAGCTCCAGGGAATGTCAGGCGATTAGTGATTGTAGGTGGAGGGGTCAGGGCCCATGGGGAGTGGCGTTGCTAAGCATGCTTCCAATGCTATCAGCCACAAATTACTTCTACAGAAAAGGAGGTATAGCAACTCATAGATCAGGTGGGTCCCCAGGTCAGAGACTGGAGGCAAGGCAGGATCGCGTGTATCCCGTGTCTGCTCAGAACTCACAGATGGCTAGTCGGTACTGCAAGCAGTTCTTGTCATTCCATTGCCCATCTGTGTACATCTCCACACATTTCTCTTTGCCCCGACCCCTCGGCTCCCCTGGGTACCATTTGGTGTAATTCAGAGGGGCCCCGTCCAGGTACTGAAAGACTCCAGGGTAGGAGCCCTCCTGCAGGCCCAGGTAGGCATACGTGTTGTGCTTCTTCACTATGCCGGCAAGGGCCTCGTTCTCCTCTGGGTTCCTTGGGACCGCAATGCTGCCTCCCGCTCTGGCACATGTCTCCCTAATGGCATCAAAATTGACCGACTGCCCATTGGTGGAGAAGATCTTCTCTCCCACTGTTACCATGGAGCCCTGCAAGCTGAGGACTGAGAGCAGACAAGCACAGGTCAGGCCACCGGTCTGTATCTCTAAGGCCCTTGCCCTCACTCGGGCTGTCTGCCCTTGTGCTCTCTCCAATCTCTTCAGCTCTGACGCTTCCTGTCTACCCTCCTCCTCCTAATCCCACTCTTTCTAAACTCCCCCTCCATGCTCTTGTCATTCTACTCATTCATTGATCCATTTAACCACCACTTATTGATGGTTTATTATGTGCCAGAAACTGCAATGTCTGGGAATCAATAGAAAGTCAGATAGGCAGGGAACCTGCTTTCCCAAGACACAAGAGCCGATCTGGGTCTACGTCCTTCTCCTGGTTCATCCAGAACATCAGAAAAGGGAAGCATCATTCTTGTCCCCAAGACCTGCATGTCCATGCCTGTTTGTCGACGCCTCAGCGGGCACTGACAATAAGGGGAACTTACCGGGGAACGCCTACCTTAGGAGGCCCCCGGGGGTTTGCTTACCGCCCGCTGACTGCCTGATTTGATGTCTGAGTTCATGGAGTGTGGACTGCAGCTCCTCATCTAGATAAGCTGGAAATCCTGTAAAGAGAGCCCAACCCAAGATGAGGGGCAAACCAACAAAGACCCCACTTGCTTCCAAGCAGATGCTCTGCCAGCTGCAAGCCTGGCATCTGCCCTTCACCTCTCCATACCCATGGCCCAGGCTCCAAGCCTGGGAGAGAGGGTCTTCTGCACTCCTTATAATCTTCTCTTAATGCAGCCTCCATGCCCAGCCGACCCAGAGCCCCCTTCGTTCTCTCCTGCCGGGTTCTTGAATGGCTCTGGCTGCCCACTGTGCGTGTCTCTGGGATCTGGGCGGGGCCCTCTCCTGCATCCCCCTCTAATAGCAAAGGTGGCTTACTGCTCAGAGCTCTCCCCATGAACCTGGCTCCCCATGAACCTGGCTTACTGCTCAGAGCTCTGGAGTTCCCCTCTTAGGGAGGGGCTCCTGATTCTACCATCTGCCTGCGTCCTTGATCTGCATTACACAGACATCTTTCAGAACCTCCCCAGCATCCTAGCCCTAGGCAGCATCTCCCCTCCCCCCACTGCCGACCCATTTCCCACCCTGACATCTCGAGTCTCCCAGGGGCACTGCTGTGCATGGGACATCCCCACACCGTCAGTCCCTGGATGTGGCCTGCTACCCAGACACCCCTGGGTTCTCTCCTCCACCTCCTATTCTCTGATTTACATTGAGCATTGTGCCCTTTGGGGACCACCATGGTTTTGTCTGATATGCCTCCTCCCTCATGTTACTGACCCCATAAGCACTGCATATGCCACTGCCCACTCACCCCACCCTGCTCACCTGGCAGGCCCCTCTCGCCAGGTTCTCCCTTGTCTCCACGCTCTCCAGGGCTACCAGGGGCTCCAACCAGCCCATCACGCCCAGGAAGGCCTGGCATTCCTCCAGGGGGGCCCATGGGACCTGCGGAGAGAAGGGGACATGGGGACATTATCGATCAAAAGTAAGAGGGGCTGAGGTGATGGGTCCCTGTTATTAGCCGGGCTGGCATCTGACACTCCAAGGGCATTTTGAGGATGGGAGCTCCGGGGATGCTCTAGTCTAAAGTCCCCAGGAAACTCCCTCTATCCACCAGACCCTCGGACTTGCCCAGAGAAGTGAACAGACAGGCCTCCTTAAAACAAGTCACTGATCCTCCTCTGAGGGTGGGGTGTCCCGTCTAGTACCTGGAGGTCCCGGATCTCCCTTGACACCATCTCTCCCATCTCTGCCTGGCAGGCCGTGGGATCCAGGAGTGCCAGGGATGCCAGCGTTTCCAGCACAAACGTCCTTCACCTCACACAACATGCCAGGAACCCCTAGCAAGATGAGGGCGAAGGCCACAGAGCACAGCAACATGGCTCTTCCTGAGCAGCTGCTCCTGCAGAAAGAAAGGGCTGTCAGCGTGTCTGAAGTATTTGCAAAGGTCTCCCCTTGCTGTGCTCTGCCAAAGCCCAGGCCTTGGCAGAGCCTGAGAAGACCCAGACTATCCCCTCAGGACCATCTGCTATCTAATATGTTCTCATGTCTTGTCCTCTCCACTTGAGATGGCGTGTACCTGGGCAGGTGAGGAGTAGGAAAAAGCTCTGAAGAGTAAGAGGACCTGGGCTCTAAGTGAGTCTCTGCTGACCATTTGCTGTGTGACCGTGGGGGACTGAGCACAGTCCCCTATTGACTGCAGCCGAAACTTGTGCCTTGGAGAGCATCCTGACTTGCCCTCCCAGACTGCTGGGAGGAAGGATGGGGTCACATACTCGTTCGCTCCTTCCATCTGTCCTTCACACTCTCAACTGCCTTTTGGTACTTTCCAGAACTTTCAGGGTTCTTAGGAATCCTATTCCCGAGCATGCGTAAAAATGCCCATGGTCCACGGCCAGGCCACTCCAAGGTGACCAGAGATGGGGAGTCCCCTCCCCCTTGCCGGGGTGTCCTTCCCCTCATGAGCAGAAACCTGGTGGAAGAGCATGGTACAGGATGAGCATGTCTTCCGGCACCCGTAGTCGTGATGCAGTGGCCCGGCTCCCAGGTTCAAGGACAGGCCCCCACCTTCCCACTATCCTTAGTCAAATCTGTAACTGCTGAGTAGCTCACTGCCTGCAGCCCATGCCCTGGGAAGGCCCAGGGAGGAGGGTCTAAACTCACCCACACACGCAGAGCCTACGTGGATCTCTGCCGCCTGGTCAGAGAGCAGAAGTGGACAGCACCATTTATATGGACGTGGCCTCCTGGGGCTTCCCCTCCACCAGGGGAGGTTCCAGTCACAAAGGCTGCTGCTTGTGGGACCGCCGAGCAGGAAGCAGTGCTCTTGTTTGCACAGCATTTCCTCAGAGCACTCAGGCTGGAGGGCACTTAGCAAACCTGCTGAAGAGAAGCTGCTGGTCTGCAAGAAGGGAAATTTCTCATCAACGGGAGGTCACCCACTTTCCCCCAGCCAGCTTCCCACGCAGTGCAGGATGAGTGCTTGCACAGGAACCCATGGGGGCATGGGGTCAACAGAGCCCTTTACTCCTAGGCCTCGGCCCACCCCCCAATCCTGACTGGTGTCACAGTCACAGTCCCGGGATCACCAGCCCCCAAAACCACCAACAAAGAGAACACGCCAGGATGGAACTCTTTCTCCCCAGGGGATCAAGGAGGCAGTTCAGTGACACATGGATTATGGGGCCACGTCTTCCTGTGACCATTCCCAGCTCCAAGCAGCTCCTGGAAGGGTGACTTGTTCCTGACAGTGCAGCTGTCCTGGCTCAAGTCTGGGTGGTCAGGTTGAGCTGGAACAAACTATCATGGGCAATGCCTCACCATTGAGCCCCCAGGCCTCACAACTCCTGCTTCTGAAGCCTGGGCCTGAGTGGGTGGGCACATGGTTCAGAGTCACTGGGTTATTATGTGTCGGGGGTTGGAGGGGGTGTTTTCCTGATCTGTCACCTTGAGGTTAGAGGCAGGATTTGCACCTCTGGCACGAATATCATAAAAGCAGTGCCTTGCTCTTCTCCTTACACTTAGCAGATGACACGTTTTCAATGAACGAAAAATGATGTTCACTTGATCATTTGATTGAGTTGGTGTGTGCTAGAATTTTCCACCATAAAGTTGCCTCTTGCACTTTTTTTAAACTAGTAACTCTTGTCAGGAGGTACTTTAAACTATGTAAAGATCCCATTCCTCCTCAAACTTCCTCTTTCCCTTTTCCTCCCCATTTATTTATTTACAAGTATGGGTTCACACCTGAGGCAGGTGGACGATGAGCAAGACTAAGCCTTCAGGATGCAGGTAAGTAGGGGGTACATTATTTGTAGGTAAGTTTAAGACAATACTATCTGCAGAGAATTTATTAGCACATTACACCAGCAACTCTTAATTATGTCATGGATAAAATAATCCTCCTGCTGACAAATTGTTCATCTCTCTTAGTTCTGACACCTGTTTCTGGGCCAGCCTCTCTGTGAGAACATGCTCTTCACATTACCCAGGCTCCAGCAACCATGCCACACCTCAGTGCAGACAATCTCATATGACTCAGTGTTCTAATCCCAAGGCAAGAGATCCCCCTCCTAAAGGGGATTGAAACCAGGAGAAAAAAAATAAACACTTTGCTGAGAATTATGGGTAAAGTAAGACTGAAGGGGCAAAACAGAGGTTGTACGCTCATGCTGAGGACAGGGCACGGCTTCTATGCAGATCCGAGGCTTTTCAGCTGCTGGGTGGTTCCTTGCCTCCCCTCTCCTACAGTTCCCTGGGGTCTAGTTGGGTAAGAGGGCTGTACATGGCTGCCATGAGCCAGCTCCCACTTTAGATGGTCATAGCAACTCTCTGGAGTGCACTGAGAATAAATCCTCATTCAAGACTTAAGTCAACTGAGGGGGTGGGGGTGGACAGGGTGGGGGGTATGGTGGTGCATGGATTGCCTGGGTCACTCACACAAAGTTATTATCCAGAATTCCTTTGATTCACTTTAAATCTGTCACCATATATCCTCAGTTAGAGGGATGTGCTCTTTCTACTTAAACATTCTATCTAGAGACAAAGGGATAAAGAATTTAATTTACTAATTATGCACAGTTCAAGGTCTAATCTCAGGAATCTCAACAACATGAAGGAAAAGAGGATTGAAGAGAATTGAGGCTATTACTCCATGATGAGGTCAACACATCTGACAAATGTGTGTGTGTGTATCTTATGCTTCTCTAACAACTGTCATTTCATTACATAATAATATAACCAACAAATCTATTGCTATTACCTGAAAATAACATCATGTTTTAAATTTTACTTGACTTGTTTTAAATTTTATCCAAGTTAGCTTTCTCATCTTTCACTCAGAATTTAGAACACTTTCCTGTGTGTTCCAGACAGGCACATCATGTTGTTGGATTTGTTTGTTTGTTTGCCATTATTGAGATAAAATTGACATATAGCATAGTTTAAAGTGTGTAATGCACAGAGTTGAGAATCATACGTGATACTTATGAATACAGAGGAATGTCATTCAGAGGAATAAATGCCATTTATGAATACAGGGACCAAAGCCCTCACAAAATGCTGGCAAACCCAATCCCCCAAATATAAAAAGGATGATACACTGTGCCCAGAGATAGGAAGGGGTGAGCAGCCCCCAGAGTGGGGTTTTGTTTCCCTTCACCTCCCTAGGAAAGAAGCAGATGGGCTGCATCTGGATCTTGGCCAGAACCAGGGTCTTCACAATCAAAACCACACATTAACATGTACCCTAAACAATGACAGCTCAGCCCCAGGGAGGAATTCTGCGCTCAGTATAACAGGGGACTCTTTTCCCTGCTGATTCCAGCCCTGTATCTATGTGGAATTGAAGAGACCTTTGCTGCCATGGGTCCCCCCATTTCACCCACACTTAACATCCATCCATCCCACTGTCTTTAGAGAGAGTCTGAGTCCACAGCCCAACACACTGACCCTCTGTTGGCCCAGACCTCCTCTTAGCTCACCCTGGAGCTCAGTCCCCCATGCCATCAAGCCAGCTACATGAGTTTCCACAGAACCCTCTAGAGAGGTTTGCTCCTCACTGATACCTGTGAGCTGGCAATGACCCTTAGGTTTTCACACCTGTAAAATGGGCATAAGGACAGTCCTATCTGACCCTGTTTATAAGCCCTGCACCAGAAAGCATTGGTGTACACGAGCCTCTCCTCCTGAGAAACATGCTCGCCTAAGGGAAAAAAGGGAGCAGTACTGTGACAAGAAGGGGCACTGTCACACCCACGTCCTGAGAAATCTGGGCAGATATATGAAACTTTATCTCAATTGACTCATCTCCCCAACGGAATGTGGGGGAAGGAGCTCTGGCCTCTTGGGGGTTCTGAATGCCCTCCCATTCTGACAGTGAAGGATGGGAGTCCCTGTGGTTCACCCAACATGAACCACACGGGACTCCCTGGAGGGAGCCCCTTCTCTATCCGTAGGGAGCGTGTGGGTCAGCTCTTCCCTCTGGTGGCTGCACGAAGAACTGCAGCCAATTGAAAGGATGAGCAGGCAGATTTCACCCATGGCCCCCCAGCCCCACCCCATTCATTCCACCTTCATGGAGGGCTGCTTTGTGCAGGGAGATTGTTTTCTGTGATTGCCTGTTGGTGAAACTAGAAATAAGTGGGGAAAATTGAAGGAAAAACAGCCATGTGGAAAATGAAATGGAAAATGAAATTCAAGGAAAGCATAGACATAGAAGTGAGATGGAAATAACTCAAGATATCTGAGAACTCGGAACCCTGAATGCTTTGATGCCAAAATCCAAGAACTAATTACAAAGTGACATATATAGAGACACACAGCTATAGATCCACAGATTGGATATAGGTGACATACAGGTGTAGATATAGTTACAGATATGGATTCAAGTATAGACGCCGATGTGGATGTAGATTTATATCTATAGATAACAAAGATACACGTATTTTAGAGGACATGTTCAGAGCTGCCTTTCAGAGCTCAGTGCAGGGAGGCAGAGGGAAAGGCAGCACTCTCACCCAACTCACCCCCATCCCCAGCAGACCTGGGAGATGGAGGGGGTGGGTAATCATCCCTTAGGGAGACCTCCATTGAAGGATGACAGTAGCACAGCCCTTCAGATTTTAAGTGCAGTACAAATGTCGAGGCCTCCACCCACCCATCCCATCTCCTATCGGGGGAGGTGAGCAGGGTGCTTCTGGCTGGGAGTCTTAGAGGTGAGGGGTGGGGTGGGCCAGGCCTGAAGGGAAGTGAAGGTGGCCCTACTCTTGCCTGTGGACCTTTAGGGAGACTGGGCAGAACTTGGAGCTCAGGGCTGGCTCTCCTGGAGTGCACGCATGGCAGAGAACCAGAGGAGAGGCGGCACACCAGGAGCATTCCACTCTCTCCAGGGCAGCAGTGGGGGTGGTCATGCCTTCTCCCCCAGTGACATGGAGGGGATTCACATCAGCCACACCCACCCCTACACCAGGCTGCCTCGGTCACATGCCAACCCTCTTTGGGGGGCCAGGTTTCCCATGTGTGACTGGTTTTCCACCTCAGTTTACCTCAGTGGCATGTGGTGCAGAATAAATATGGCAATGCTGCAACTTTTCTGGTTGAAAACCCTGATCCATGTTGGATGAGCCCAAACAGGCAGGGAGAGGAAACATTGAGGGGCGGACACCCACTTTCTGGGGAAGTGGGGGAGTCAGGTAAAGCTGGTCAGGTGGAGAGGTTGCTGGTAGTTTGCAGACAAACACTGAGCATAGAGCAGTCGTTCTGTGAGTTTTTATTTATGGTCCTAGCAGAAACTATTAACAAAGGTCTAGTTCCATATAAACAACACTGATCCAGAATGATCTTGTATGTCCAGGGGGTGGGTAAAATATAAAATTCTGAATTTTCTTTTCAAACATGGCCCAAGTTAGAGGAACTCAGCCACCTACAAATCTGTGGCTCCCTCTCTTGAAAGGACCCTGAGACATTCAGGCTAACTGGGAATCCCGTGGAGAAACCAAAGCTTCCAAATCACATATGTATGAGAATGTGGGCTCCTTCTCTCCCTGAGGAGCTGCCCTTCCCCTGATAGAGAAAGCCTAGGTTCTTTCTGTTCCAGGCCTAGGGCCCAGATGCAGGCTGACTGTTGCCCGGACAAGACTTCCTGAACTCCTAGGCACAGCCAGAACTAGCATCCTTTGCCCTGGGAAGAAGAGCAACCCCCACTGTTTTCCTGGGGTGCATTGAAGCCCCTACCTGAACCTGAGATCCAGGGAGCTGGGAGAAGGCAAAGATGCTGTGTGAGCGGCCCAGGCTGAGGACAGGTGGGGTAGCTCATGTCAGTCATAGAAAGAAAGTAGGTGAAGATGCAGTTTCCAAGAGACTAGCGTGCCAAGCAAGGACCATTCGGGTCCCCTGGGAATAGATCTGCACGTCCCCTCTCCCCCATGAGCCTCCAAGTGGCTTTGCCAAGCAGCATCTGCTTATGACATCTCAGTCAACTTGCCCACCACCAGGACTCAAGCCCTGCCACTGGGGTCACTATCTAACATTAAATAGTCAGGCCTGAGGATGGCCTCTCTGAAAGGAGCATTGAGGGGTTTACCCAATTATTCCAACAGCATTCAGACTGCAGGGAGACACAAGAGGGACAAGGTGAGAAAGACTTGAAGGGCACATGTCCCTTGTTTTGAGGACTGGCCACCTGTGTTAGGGCAAGCTGCTTCTTCTCCAGGAAGCCCAGCCAGAACTGGACTGGATTTGGATTTGAACCACTCACCCCAGAGTTCCCCAAACCAAAGCCCTGCGTGCTCATGGGCTGGGGTCATGTGATTGCTTCTCAATTCCAAACACCAGCCCAGCCCAACGGTCTTCTGAAATAAAAGAGCCTTCTGGAACTGTCCTGATCATGCAGCTCAAGGTCACCAGGGTCCAACTCAAGCCAGTGGGTTAATCCCCTAATTCCCAGCAACCTCAGGTCTGCGGGACAGGCCACAATCTGCTTTGTCTTTGCTCAGGTTTGTTTCTGGCATGAGAAGAGGGGTACAGCTTCATGAGTGCAAGCTCCTGGACTCATGTCTAGATCCTGACACGTGTGACTGTGGGAACTTGCGAAAGATATCTCAGTAGTCCAAGCCTCAGCTCCCCATTTATAAGTGGGGATAAGAAGAGGTGCTACCTCATCACACTGCAGTGAAAAAGAAATGGGATCAGGAATTAGCTCAGGGCCTTGCACGTTGTCGATGATCTTGCCGCTGTCAGATGCTGGCCTGGGAGCAAAGGCCTGGCTCAGGGTGCAGGTGTGAAGGGCGGGCCCAGAGGGAGCCCTGAGACCAGGGAGAAGCACTCTGGGGGTGGGGAGGGAGAGAGGAATTGGTCAGGGTCCAGGCTGAGGGGGGAGGTGACTGAGGGGATTTACTCTTGACAGAAAGGGGGGATTTTTCACAAAATTAACATCACCTTGGTCTGAGGGAGGGGGCGGGGAACATCATGACCATCCTCAGGAGGCCTGCTGACCCCTAGCACCACAGAGACCTCTGTCTCCTGCCCCACTAGGTGAAGACAGGACTGGAGGGGGTGTGGGTAGAGTGAGGGGAGGCACTCCCCGAGGGCAGTCAGCCTCCAGGGTTGGGGAGATCTGAGAGTTGGGATCCTGGAGAAGAGGAGGGTGGCCACCCAGCTGCCTCCAGGGCATGGCTGGCCCAGCTCCCACCAGCTCTAGAACACAAGCTTCTTGGGAACTTCCCACGGGAACTCGTTTCTTCCAAAATGGCCATAGCACGCCGTCTTCTGGTAGATGGGCCTCTTCAAGTCCAGATCCCTGCATGTTCAGCGGAAGAAAGGGCCATTGAAATGAAAGAGGAGATTTGGAGTGGAGTATCACCACACAGTGATTTCCCACAAGTCTCTGTCTACACCACACCACTGCCGCTGGCCCCCAGGAAACAGGCTCAGAGGCATAGGGATTTCCAGCTACCCAAACACACCCGGGGACCAGGCCTTAACCTGCCTTTCTCCTCACCACTTCATTAACCTAGTCTAGACCACATTCACTCAGCCAAGCTCCAGAAATCAAGGGTGGCATCAGAAACGAGAGCAGATGGGACTAGATTTGCCCACCACAGTCAGTCACTTTGCCTTATACTTATTTTCCTAAGATTCTCTCCCCACACACATACACTTGTTTAAAGACAACGCCACTGACCACAGTGTCTACTGGGCCAGAAGTGATCTTGTGACCCCTCTTTCAACCTGAAAACTAGACATCCTGCATCTGGGGTGTACATGGGTCTTGAGGGAGGCGGGACAGCCCTTCTTCCTGTCTCCCTTTCCATTGATCAGAACATGTTGGGGAGGGGAGGCAGGTCCTGCCTACTAACAGCAGCCAGGTGAGGGCACTTTTACCTCACAATGACACCAGGCCGAAGGTCGAAGTTCTTATTCACCACATCTAGCAGCTCCCTCTCTGTCTTCTTAGAGGTTCCGTAGGTGAAGAGGGAAATGGACAGGGGCTCAGCCACACCAATAGCATAGGAAACCTTCCGGAAGAGAGCAGGGTCAAGGACCGAAGCCTCTGTGCAGGGGCCTGACCCTCACAGAAACCTTGATGTCCTCAGGCAGGGGCTGCTGGAACCGTACATCTTTTGCCCAACATGCTCCTCCCACCTTGCCTGCCTAGAAATCCCAACCATCTTCATGGCAGGTCATTCTGTACAGTACTGCACAGAACTCGGGTGCCCCCCTCAGGTTTTCAGAGTACTGGCCCGGCATGACACAAGCAGAGTCATATCCCCTGGCAAAGTGGTGGCCTCCCACCAGGCTAGCAGGACCTTTCTCTGGGCGAAGTGTGGGTGAGAGTGGGGCCCAACGCACCTGCACCAGCACTCTCCGGCAGAGCCCTGCTTTCACCAGGGACTTGGCCACCCAGCGGGCAGCATACGCTGCGGAGCGGTCCACCTTGGTGTAGTCCTTCCCGGAGAAGGCACCACCTCCGTGCGCTCCCCAGCCACCATAGGTGTCCACAATAATCTTACGGCCAGTGACGCCCGCGTCCCCCTGCAGAGGGACGGGAAGAAATGAAGGGAGGAGATGAGAACCAGAGCCCCCCAGTAGCTGGGGGGAGGAGGCAGCTGAAACACTGTGATGGCCACTGACAACAACTTAGAAAGGGCACCCTGAAACTGCCTGTGGGCATTTTTCAAAGACCCCTTGGCTAGGAGTCAGCCAGAAACCCTGGGCTCAAATCACAGTTCAGACCCTGAGCAGTAACAGAGTCAGGAAAGCCTGTCAGAGAATCATCAGACGGTCTGGCAAAAGCTGTGCCCAGGGACCAGAGCCAGGTCCCAATGTGTTTCCATGTGTCAATCACAATGGAGAAGTCCAGCTGCAGGAAGAAGGTGCCACCCAGCATATGCCACGTCGCCCATCTCCTCCTCAAGTGTCCACTCTCTGCACTACCCATCACAAAATATGCTTCAAATAAAGGGGGGGTTGTATACAAGGATTTGGGGAAAGTCTACATACTAACTCCCCTCCACTTAGAGAGTCAAGGCTACACAAGTATGTCTAGGCTTTGTGAAGTCCTGCCAGAAAAGCAATGAGCATTTCCTCTCTTTCACCCTGTGTTTCTGCCACTGCATTTGGTCACAGAACCCATGATGGGGGCTCTGATTTGTGGCAACACATCCACAGCTGAGGCCCCCCTGGCAGTGCCAGCAGTCTCTACCAATATCTACTTCTGCACCTTGTTTTCATCTAAAAAAACTGCCCCACCTTGGCACCCACAGGGTTAAAGACAGCCTGTGTCAAACACCTGGTGAGCACCACCTGGAAAAGGTGGGTCTGCAAAGGTGAGTAAGCACCCAAACAGGAGCAGCAGCAGCATTTGGGCTATTGTGTCAGCAGGTATGAGATGTCTAGAGTGGGGGGTGGGCAGGCACCACTAAGTGGGAGGATTCTGGGGGCATGTCCCCAATTCCTCAGGCACTGACAGAGACACAGCAGGCTGATTTCACATTTTACCCAGGGCCAGACCCCACTGGGCCACACAGAGCCACGGTTGCTCAGGAGGTAAGCAATCTCAGCACAGACACATCGGAGGGGAGGGCGCACCTGGGGACCGCCGATGACAAATCGCCCGCTGGGCTGCAGGTGGTAAATGGTCTTTTCATCCAGGTACTTGGCTGGCACCACGGCTCGAATCACCTGCTCCTTCAGTGCCTTGCGCATGTCTTCCAGCGATATGTCCTCGTCATGCTGCACGGAGATGACGATGGTGTGGATGCGCACGGGGATGACTGCGCCATTGTTCTGTGTGTACTGGACTGTCACCTGGCAGCCAGGAGAGGAGGAGACACTGTGAGGCCCTGTCCGGAGCAGAGGACACATTGCTGTGGCTGGGCATGAATGCCCAGGAGGTAGCCAGGGCTCCCAGGAGTCGGGGGAGAGGGACTTATGTCCTCAAAGACCCTCAGGAAAGCTAATCTGCCACATTCTTTTATTTGAGTCATTGCCCAGTGCTTTGGCATGAGGGACGTGAGGCCTAAGCCACTCCCCACCTGTGACCACAATTGCAGTAGCACTGGAAGACTCAGGTTTTAGAGTTTCCTCTCAATGTGAAGCCACTAGGCTCCTTCTATTTCAGAGGGTCCTGGGTACCAACAAATGTTCCCCTGGCCAAAGCCCTTTCTTGATACCCCAGTGGCCTGGGACTACTTATCCCAGCTCCTGCTAAGGGGCCCACAGGCCGCACACTGAGGCCCAGCCTCTTGGTGGAGGAGCTCTGGAAACACACAGCACCAGTGGGCTTGTCTGCTGTAGGGACAGATGATGAGAGGGACTCAGGCTGAGATGGAGGGAACAAGCCCTGGATTGGTAATTTCTGGGTGTTTTGACAAAAGAGAAGAACAGCAGAAAAGAGCTGGAGGGAGGCAACCTGCCTGCAGTGTCCTGGAAGGTCAGACCACAGGGAAAGAACTAATGCTCACTTTTACTAGCATGGGTCAGTTCTGTGCCCATTCCTGGCACCTCGGCAAGATCAGTGTTCTATCCCCACTTTGCAAATGAGAAAAACAAGCCTACGGAAAGTGAAACAACTTGTCTGAAGTTACACCCAGCCAGCGAGAGCCAAATACCGTGCTCTGCCTGATTCCAAAGCCTGTGTCATTCCCACAGCAGCACAGACCAGAAGCTTCTCCAGAGACCCCATTCTTTACTGACACATCAGTGAGCAGAAGAGCCCGATGTCACAGCCTGATGTGTCTGGTAACAAAGGAACGCAGCCTTTTCTACGGTGGGCTTGCAGAGTGTGAGGAAGGACATGGTGAAGATGGCAGATAAAGCCACAAAAGAAACCAGCACTGGTCACATCACACAAGCACCATATGTTGCAAACCAAGTCCAAAGCCATGAGAAGCTATCACTAGCCCCATTTTAGCAAGTGAGATTCCAGTATAAATACCTTGGTCAAATCACACAGCCAGCAGAGCTGGGAGCTCACCTTGAGTCATGTGGCCTGGTAAGCCAGCACTCTGGCTCGGAGAAGGCTGCCACTCAAGCTCCTGAGGGATACGTTGGAGCCACTGGCCCTCTACCACTCAAGGCAGTAGTGCCCAGCATGGGGTGGAAGGCGCTGTGGGATATATGGGGCCTGTAGAATGCAGCTAGGTTAATGGTCCTGGAAGGGATTCTGGCAGGTGGGCATAGCCTTACCCTAACCCCAGGGCCTCGACAGGACCTCCCTAGGGCTGTGCCAGCAGCAAGATCTCTGCATGCCAGAAGATCCTCAGATCTCTCAAACACTGGACCCCTATCACACTCATACTCTGTGTTTTGCTGAGTCCACAGAACAATTGGTGGTGTCCAGGAGGAAGAGAAAGAGGCCTGCCCCCTTGATGCCTGATTCTAGTAAGATGGGCAGGTTCACACTGACAGCTGGGGACAGAGGGCAACCCCTTCAGTGCTGGGCTATGCACACACGGGGCCCAGTGAGAGGGAGCTAGAACTAGGGGGTGGGGGCTCCCAGAATGGGAGGCCCTGTGGCCAGCTCCAGGACCAGATCTGCAATATCCGGTGCAGGAGAAGGCTCACATCTTGAGGAGCCACTGGGCCTGTCTCTACTGCTCCCCTGCTCCATGGATTCTCACCCCTGATGGCATCAAACGCCAGGCAGCGCCCTTGTACAGCCAGAGCTGTGGCAGAGCATAGGGCTCCAAGCAAGGCTCTTATCATGTCAGCACCATGTGGAGAAAAAAACACAACTCTGACTAGTAACAAAAATAGCCATCCACATTGCACTCCGTTCCCAGTATCAGCAGCAAAAATTTGGTCAGGTGTGAAGACTCACCATGTTCAGAGTCAACATTGCATGGAGGATGGAAATCCTTCAGGAAGGCCTAGAATTTGTTTCTGTCACAGCACCTGACCTCTCCGTGAGGCAGCCCCATGCAGTGAGCTGGGCTGCTCCAAAAGCCCACCAGGGGTGCTGGGAGGGGGCTCTGGGAGAGCACCTAGCAGACCCACTCCCACATGCTCTATGTGCCAGCTGGCTCAGGGCGCCTGGCAGGAGAGCTGAAGAGACCCTGGCTTCCAAAGTAGCATTTTAAAGAGAATTCTGTGTATCCTTGTAGGAAAGGCGACCCTGAAAGGACCTGTGGTCCCCTCCCCTCCCTCACTGCCCAGACTTGGAAATCTGCTACTAACTAGGCAAAATGAAGGAGGTGGGGCCTCCAAGCCACACTCCCATACAAGGAAAGGGCACACTCAGTGACACCACTGACTTCCTCCCACCCCTATTCTAGGATCTCCTTTTCTGTGAATCTCCACCCTACATCACAGCATAGTTCCGGTTCAGGCTGGGCACAGCATGCCAACATTTGTGGGCCGTTTCGGTACCATTGCAATCTATGTATTTTGGCTCTCATGTCCCACAACCTCCAAGAACACCTGGGGAATGCAGATGTTTCTACTTTTCACTTTGGGGGTCACATGGATAACACCTGAAAACCCAAGGAAGGGTCCCTTTTATACCACAAGTACCCTTTCTTGCCTCAGGTCTAGTCAATAGGCAGCCTCTGCCCATGTGACCTGGCACTCTGGGTGAGAGAGATGCACCCCCGTGCAGCTGGAGTAATGCGGCAGGGCCACGTGCACCAGGCTGAGCTATAAAAAGCACATGTGCCAAATTCCAAGGTCAGGGGTGAGAAAAGGCCCCATCTGGCGGTAGCTGAGGAAGATGTCCATGGGGACTTGACTGGTCACTGATGGACAGACAGGGACCAGAGAAAAATTGCAAGCAAAGCAAAGGATGGGAGCAAAGCTACAACACTAAAAAACAAAGGAAACATGAGTGAAATAATATAGAGTAGAGCCAAGAATGCGGGAAGGGAGCAGCAGAAGTTAAAGTTGGAAAGTTGTAAGAGGCCTGGAGGGCCAGAATAACAAGTGGGAGCTGGTCTCCCATAAGAAGCAGAAAGTTGTAGAAGATAATGAGCGGTTATTAAAGAATTGGCTGAGTGTCCAGGCAAGGAGGAGTTGGCCCTGGTTCTGGCCTGGCTAGGAAAGGCCAGGCTGGAGCAGGGGGATGCTCTATGAGAAAACACGGGGCACAGGAAGTGGAGTGGAGAGAGTCGCCGGGCAGGGCTCCCGTCTCAGCTGGGGGGGGGACAGTGCACTGCCTCCATCGGGCTCTTGGGGCACATTTGTCTGCAGGGTGAGCAAGAAATAGGGCTCACAGGTAGAATATTAGTGAATTTGTGGAGATGGGAATTGGACCCACCAGCATGGGTGGAGTCGCAGAGAGGAAGGCCCAAGGAAAGGGGCCGTGAGGGTCAGTGGGGTTAAAGAGGGTGAATGGAAAACAGGAGAGTGAAGGCGAGCTGGGGACCTGGGTGTGTGCTAACATTTGCGTCACCTCCAATCTGCAAATATAGACATTGGGGGCGCGAATTTCAACACTTCAGGGAGCAGAGAGGTCAGGGAGCAGACAGGTCAGGGCCCATGGGCAGAAAGTCAGAAACAGCAAAGGTAAAGCCTTTTTTTAGGAGAAATAAAGGGCCCCGGCAAGGTGCTGACAGCACTTGCTCACACTGCGTTCAGGCCTTGCACAGAGTGTGGAGGCCTGTGTGTGTGGAAAGGCAGGTGCTGAAAGTGGAAGCGAGGCAAGAAGGAAGTTTGTGGCAGGAAGTAGGGAATCACCAGAATCAACATATGCTAAGAAGGAAAAAAAGAAAAGTCTGCTCTTTCAATTTGCCTATACTTTTTAAAATATTTTTCATAACAAAGGTTGAGGTGAAGGAGAAAGCACCAAGAGCCAAAGATTTTTCAAATAAATAGTTCTTCTCAATATCAACAACCCTTTTAGTGTCCAGACAGGATATTTTGATCCTAAAACTGATGAGAATCAGCATGTCTTGCCCCCAGACTGCCCACCTGCGTCCATGCAAGTGCCTCTTCCTTAAACCCGCCCCTTTCAAAATGCAGCTCTTTGCCTGCCTGCAAGTAAGCAGGTGTTTCCTTCTTAAGGAACCTGTCCTTATAATATATATATATATACTGACAAGAATCAAGAGGACTTGGGGGTGCTTCAAGTGTGAGCCTGGAGTGCCACGGGAGGAAAAAGGAGCAGCTCACCTGAGTCTTTGAGTCAGGCCTTAGCCAGGGGAGGACCCCCGACCGTCTCAGCTCTGCCATCCGGGCATTGAGTTTGTGAGCGAGGATGATGGTTAGGGGCATGCACTCTTCTGTCTCATCGGTGGCATAGCCGAACATCAAACCCTGCAGCAGTGAAAAAAGTCAGTGAGGACCACCCACTTTAGACAACAGAACAACTTCCTGGCAACCTCAAACTTCACTGGTGTAGTGCCTCGTGCTGCAATATTTGCACCGGGCACCTGTGGAGAAGGGATGTGGTCCCTGATACCCAGTGCTCTGGGTGGGACAGACAAGCCCAAAGTAGGTGTCAGTGATGGTGTAGGCTTTCCCAACATGGGGAGACCCTGAAGTCGCTGACCCATGGCAGGGGTGTCCAATTCACGCTAGGCACATACATCCGCAGTGCCCCTGCTGGAAAGAGGGGACATTCAGAAGTCCCTGAGTATGCCTAACTCGCATGCGATTTATCCATCATCTCCCAGCACAGGTGAGAGCAGGGCAGAGATGGACTTACCATGCCAACACCCTGACATAGCGCCTGTGCTCGGTGTTACCTGGTCTCCAGCACCCACATCCTCTTCGTTTCTGTCTAGGTGGACACACTGGGCAATGTCCGGGGATTGCTGCTCCAACGCCACCAGTACATTGCAGGTCTTGAAGTCAAAGCCTGAGCAGAAGGAAAAGCAGGCCTGAGTGGGGACTCACGTCAGACAGATGGCGGCTGCGATGTTTTCGGGGGCTGTCAGTTCCTGACAGAGTATGCAGCATGGGGGTGGATGATCGCTAGCCAAGTGGGTCTGTGTGGGCCCACCACTGAGGCCCAAAATAAGCCAGGTCATGGATCTTTCCCCTACTATCAGAACTCTCTGGTCAAAGAAAATCCCCCATAGTGCATTTTACTGTATGAAATTATACCTTGATTGAAAAGATACATCCTGCAGAGAACTGCAGCATAAATACCAGGTCACACTACAGCTGCTCTGGCTACATTCATGCTCCTTTCTGCCTCTTCCAGAGGTGACTCCCAGGACTCAGGTTGAAAGTCAGGGTCCTCCCACTCTTGCCATTTCTGAATGGCAATCCCAGAGGATGCCTAATGCAAGTACGAAATACACTCAGAAAACACAGTGTACGTGAACAGTCAAGAAAATTGTAGATTCCGGAGTCCTCTGGCCCCGAGATGTGCACGGGACCTGGAGCCATGCCTCTGGAGGCTGAGGTCCCATCTGTTCATCCCCAAAACTTAGACACAGAGCAGAAGGCGGGTCCTCTATGGCCAGGTTCAGTGTGCTGGGCACAGGTTCAGGGAAGTCTTGGCTAGCAGCAGCCCAGGGAGCCCCACAAGGGAGCCCCCAGGCGCAGACAGCATGTTCTTTTCCCAGTCTGTCAGCACAGACACATTGGACTCAAGTATTAGTGGCAAGTGACCAACTGTCACCTTCCTGCCAGTCTATTCTACCCTCGCTGCCAGAATGGGCTTGCTAATAAAAATAAACAAATAAACCAGATCCAACCTTTTGCTTCTCTACATGCTTTAAGTGGAAACCAAATGAAATAAAAGTGGAGCTTTATTCCAACTCAGCCCTTGCCACCTAAATTCCATCATCCTGAGTGAACTCAGGTTTCACCTTAAATATGACAGACTTTTCCATCCCCACGAGGTGCTGCCTAGATGCTCCCCCTTTCACTCCCTACCCCCATGCCCAAATTCAAATAGTTCTTCCTGGACCCTCCTATAGCTCTTCCTTGCTCACTAGGGCACCAAGCCTCCACTGCCCACCTCATCCTGCAACACCACAAAGCATCAGGTCCCCTTTGTCCTGAGTAGCCTCAAATGCACAAGCTAATGAATAATCTCTACAGAGGGACTCACCAATGTTGCATTAAATATTTTGCATTTTCTCTAATCACTCCCTGTGAGTCACTATTCTAAACTCTGAATCTTCTCAGTGCTGAAGAGCTAACCAAGGGCTCAGAGTGGCTTGGAAAGAGTTTAGGGGACTTAGGGGAGAAAGGCAAGGGTTGGGATGAGCAGTGAGGCCGGTGACGCTGCAGCAAACAGCACTGAGGGGGCTGCTGGCCTGACACTTGCTGCTATGGCCGTCTACCTGGGACACAGACAAGCTCAGCACCAGAAACACAGCCAACAACAGGGCTGGGCTCGCTTTCACATCTCCCTTTCTAGGAGGCATTATCTCCTGGGAAATTTCCCCGCGACCTAATGCAGAACAAGGTTTGCTCTTCAATAAGGTCTACATGTACGTAAGCAAGCCTGCTTTTCCTGGTAGAAGAGGCTGAAGGCTCTGCATGGTAACCAGTCAGGAAGCTGCTGCCCTGGGACAGAGTGTTTCTTCCATGAATGCAGACAGGGAGAATTAACCTGCATGCACTAGTTCTCTTGATAACCCCCAGAGATTCTTGACATCCCTCCAAACTTTCATGTGCTTCAGTGAGTCCTTGGGGCCAAGAGACCGTGACCAGACTGATTTCTGTACATCCGGGCCCTCACATGGTGAAGCGACTCTCTCACATACAAAGTCATGGGGCATCACCCCAGCCTACCCTGACCCACAAATGCCACACACCACCCTAAACAACCAGTCAGTGACACAGAGCAGAAATGAGCACTTTCAAACAATTGTGTCCATGAGTCTCCAATACAGGTGTAAGGCCAGGAGTGTTGTCTAGAAGCAGGCTGTCAGTGCCCCTGTTTAGGGCCACTACCTTCTTCTAGGAAATTCAGAGAGAGCCAACTGAGAACCCAAAAAGATTTTTTCTTTTAAACCCAGAATTACATGTGTAACCTAATGCCAGGAGTCATGATGGAAACCCTAAGAAGTGGAGGTCAGAGCCCTACCGAGGAAGCCAGCATGGAAGACACAGGACCTCCAAACACCCCTGTGATGTCAGTGTCTACAAGCTCTTAAGTCCTGGCCCTTGCACCCTAGTTCTTTGATGTCTCTACAGGTTGGGCCCTTCCTGGCTGCCCAGCCTTAGATGTAAGAATCTGCTTCTGGGCCCTCTCAGCCCCGCCTGATCACAGTGCTCCCCCTCCATTCCCACCCGGGTCTGTGCTCCTCCCCTGGGTTTTGGGCTCCCTTACTGTCTGGCACTGGAGCTAACCTGGTCAGCCTGGCTATGAGTCCCAGTTCTGGATTGAGTCCTCTTTTTCCTTGCCTATAATGGAAAGCAGCACAGCGTAGCAGAACGCGCAGCAGTCCCCAGCCTGGCAGCCGCTTACTGTGTTACCCTATACAAATGATTCACATCACTAAGCCTCAATTTCCTCATCTGCATGAAAATTACAGCAGCGTGCCTGAGTCTGACACTTAAAGACCAGCACCCATGCCTGGCGGACAAGAGAACTTCTCCTCAACAGAGGGCATCTCCGTTGACTTGGCACTTCTGCCTCCGTCAAAACCAAGGAGGTTTGCCGGCACCACGGAGGCAGGACCTGAAACAAGTCCAGGATTAATAGCGAATGCACACTGCTGGTTCAGCTGGGCACAGTCACCTGGGCTGCCATACTTTTTTTGCCAGAGAATTTGACCCTTGGACCTGTGTTTTCACTGCTGGAACTGTTTGTGTTTCCATAAGACTGAGAGCCTCAAATTTGACCTCCCTCAGGTCTATCAGGACCTCAGAGCCTATCAGGACCTCCCTCAACAGAGACCAGTGCCTATTTTAGGGCCAGAGGCCCTGCCCTCACCCTTGGCAGAGTCGTCATAGCCGATGTGCTTGATGGCATCTCTCACCACCCGCTGGTAGTCCACCATGGCCGTGGAGGTGATCTCCCCGCACAGCAGCACCATGCCCGTCTTGCACACCGTCTCTGCAAGAGAAGGCGAAGTGAGCCGCCACGCACCGGGAAAGGCATGCTCAACACCTAGATGCCTCCCGGTGCTGACGGGAAGACTCACAGGAACCCTACAAGGAATGGACTCCAGAAAGAAGAGTCACGCTAATAAAGGGAGGAGACCCCAAGGGCAAGTGCCCACCATCTTCCTATGTTGTCTGGACACCTGCGCTTTGGAAAGAATTGGTCACCCTGAGTTTTCATACCAAACCCTTGTCTCAGTTTCCTCAAGTGTTAGGTGAAGCTCGTGAGACTGCTGTGTGGAGCGAAATGAGACCAAGCTCGCGTGAGGCTATCACAAAGAATGCAGCCAAGGGCGAGCCTCTCCTGCCCCCTTATTGCTAAAACTCTGCCGCAGGCATTAGGGACTGGAATCCTAAACAAAGAACCAAAATAGTTAGCCTGCTCCCTGGCTATTTACAAAGATGTCCGGGTGTGTCTAAGCTCAGAGGGGCACAGGTCCCTGCAGTGTCTGACACAGAGGATAGGGGAAGAAGCGGTCTGTGCCAGCCAGAGGACAGGGTATCACAGTAAGGAGAGGGTGCTGGTGTCCCTTCTGGGCACTGGGACCTGGTGTCCGTGGCCAAGGTCCTGATGCAGCTGCCCTCGCGGTGCCCTCTGCAGTGAGGACTGCACTTGTTCACCTTGAGGTGCTTCAGGCTCCGGAGCCCCCGACTCTCCCCTGAGCTACAGCACAGGCTGGGCTTTCAAGTCTGACCCAGTTAGGTCCCCAGCAGGAAGAGAAAGGGCTTATCTTACCACAGGCCACCTTGGCATTGGGGTCCTGCTTGAGATGGGCGTCCAGCACCGCATCACTGATTTGGTCGCAGATCTTATCTGGACAAGAATAAGCACACGTGAGAATCCCATACATGTTAGGTATAACAACTTGAAATGTTAAAACAAGTAGATATTTTGCCAGTTTAGATATCAATCTACCCACCTAAGGATACATGTCTTGAAAGCATAAGAAATTTGAAGGTTTTTAAAAATGTTTATTCCCACTTCTAATTATTGATGATATTGATTATATAAAGTCATAAAAGTCCCTAACAAAGGAAATATATTCCAAAAACAATCCTGATTTTTAAAGCAACACACACATACATGCACACACACTTCTAATGAAAAAGTCCACCATTCCTCAATATAATCCCTTTAATCCTATACCCAGAAAAGTCCTATAAATAGAAGATGAAGTAGCTAATACCATCAGAAAGACTGGGTGCCAAGATGCAAGATCAGATGGCACAAACAGATGCCCTGTGCCCAGGCTGAACAAGATGCTGGGTGCTGAGTATAAACACCACGCCTGGTCCCTGACTCCACACACAAGGACTCTCTGGCAGCACCTCTACACATCATTTCTGTTTTGCACAATACTTCCAGAGGCAGCTTTCAGATCTTTCCCAAAATTCCTTCAGCCTCCTGAAGGCTAAATGATCTTAATAGTGGGGTCAAGGTGGGACTGGCAGGATCTCAGCATGAGCTGAGGTTTGAGCTTATTCTTCCACTATTTGCCTAAAAGACTCATGGTCTAGCACAGATCTCTGAATGACACTCTAGAAAAATGCACAGTTGCTTTGAGTTTATGTGGCCTGTCAATATTTCCCTTAGTGTTCAAAACACCCATACAGTCTTCATCTTAATAAATGAATGCTTAAAATATTTTCCCAGTTTTATTGAGGAATAAGATACAAAACACCTGAATATAGTTAATGCTACAATTTGGTAAGTTTGGACATATCCATACAAGCATATGCATATACATACATCACCATGATCAGGGTAAAAACATATCACTCAAAATGTTTCCTTGAATCCCTGTTTTTTCTTTTAAGTTTTTAAATTAAGAGTCTAGATCCAGAATCAAGTGATTCTACTCTTGAAAGCATGTAGGTTCTATCATTAAAATATTAATCTGCCATTAAAGGTGAATTCTTTAATCTTTCCTTCAGAAATTGTTACTAAACACATATTTAAGTTTTTCTAGCTATCCTCCTACCAGTGGCAGTACTGGCTGTATAACTAGGTGTGTCTGAGTTAGTTCATGTTTTCTGCACAGCCAAACTAATGAAGACCCCTGTTGTTCAAATACCCTCACTAGGCTACCCATCAGGACCCCTCGGAACTACTCACATGTGGATCGTGGATGGCTCTGATTGTTTAAGGGGCATAGGTCACATGTTCCCAATGCACAAAAGAAGCTGGATAAGGGATATTAAGGATAATGCTAGAATTGAGCAAGAGTATTAAGGTAGCGCCACAGACTAAGCTCCAGAGACTAAGCTAACGCCTAAAGAGGCCCTTTTGGAACTGTTTCTTCAGGCTTTCGAAATTTCTATCAGTATCGCTTAGTAGGATTAAAATAGCCATTATGTGGTTTTCTTGGATGTTAAAAATGAAGCATTCATTTTGTCCTCCTGACATAAAGGAATTTAGCACTGGAACAACAAGCAGAGAGTCACCAAAACTTAAGGGACACTAACAGGTCTGAAGAGTTATAGTGGCAAGTGAAATCAGACAAATGGAAGGCCTGCCAATAAGTAGACAAAATAATCAGCTGATTGGCTGGAATTGCCGTTCTCTGTCCACGGAAGACACTGCATTGTGTATGACTGTCCATCTGCCACAGTGTGCCAACGCACCTGTTTCCTCCAGCTGGAGCGAATTCTCCTCCTAAATTATACCTGGGTTTTATAAGCCATGGAGCTGTCCACAATGTGTCAGGCATACAATACATCTGAGCTTATAAGCACAGTGAACTTAGTGACTTGAAAGTTATGCACAATGAAAATAGCGATTTACATGAAATTCAGTTAAGTCACATACGGAACTCAGTGTAAAGCAGTTTCTCAAAGCAGTTTCTCACTTTTAGGGTCAGATAATTCTTTGTTGCAGGAGGAATGGTGCCATGCATTCAGGATGTTTGTAAGCATGTCTTGCTTCTATCTACTAAATGACAGTAGCACTCCATTCCCACATAGTTATGATGACCAAATAGGTTTCCAGGATTATGAAATGCCCTAGGGGGATAAGGGCAAAACCACCCCCAGTTAAGAAGGGCTGGCTAACACCCATAGAAGGAGTAAATGCATCAAGAAGCCCACAGCTGAGATACAAGGCCTGAAAGTCAAATCTCTTTGAGAAAGAACAAGATGAGGAAGATGAAAAGTTAGACTTGATGGGTAAGTTACTTAAAACTCCAAATACTCGTCATTTTTGAAGATGTGCTTAAACATACCAATCAGTTAGTCTAGCCCCTAAGGTTTTCCCAGATCAGTGGTTTTCAAAATGTGGTTTCCAACCAGTAGCATCAGCAACTCTTGGAACTTATTAAAACTGCAAAACCTTTGAGCCTCACCCAAAGTCCACTAAATCAGAAAATCAGTGCAGAGGGATGGGGGCATTGCTCATCAGTCTGTGTTTTAACATCCATGCTGGTGATGCTGATACACACTGAATTTTGTGACTTCTGTCCTTGAACTTGAGGCTCTGGTCATGGTCCCCACAGTTACCAGGGAAGCCTCTCATTTCCCCAACATCACAGATCACCTATCTTTTGTCAACCAAAAAAATGCTTTAAAATTTCTTCCTCTTTAGGAAATCTATACTTCTTTTAGACAATGTATCTAAGGCTTCTGGGACCTAGAGGTCTAGTTCAGAGATTAAGATACACTGCTGTTCACACTGAATTGCACATGCTTGACATACAAACTCAATGACCCATGGTCTTGTTTGAGGGACCATTCTCTATTAGGTTGCTCATTGATAATCAATTAAAGGTTGACATATACATATATAAACACACTAGATACACGTGTGTATATAGGCACATAAAAAGTTTCTCTCTGATGATACATTTCTATGTACAATATGTTTAGCTATTTATAATATGTCGTCCGTTGCAGCCTCCCCATGCCGAGATGCTAGTAGTGGGTCGCAGTGGGGACCCTTGTCTCCATCTACTTACAGTTTATCACTGCATAGTGAGCAACTGTCTTACAAAACTGCAATGAATGGAATAAGAAAAACTTTGTATTGTTCCACCAGAGATCCTTTATAGTCACGAACACAAATGGTTTTTAAGACCTCTAGTAGAAACGCCTTCCTCAGGTGCCGGTAGCCGTCTGTCCAGGACAACCCACTTACCTGGGTGTCCCTCTCCAACAGACTCCGATGTGAACATGAAGGCTCCTTCTTCACTTAGAGAACGGTCATACAAGCCATCCACCGGCCCATTCATCTTTTCCACTCAGCTTCTTCAAGGTAATTTTAATGCTGTGACTTCGCTGAGTTTTTTCCCCCTTCAAACCCAACAGGCTTCTCTTTGGCAGCAGCACGGAGGTCACTTCTGCCTAACTCCCTGCAAGCACGTGAGGGTGAGGTGAGGATGGGTGAGAAGGGAGGGACTGAGTACAGATGTGTCACTCCCTCTGACTGCTCAGAGCTTGCTCTTGAGTGACTCCTATATATGGAAAAGTGAAAGTGCCTGAATAATCATGTGAGGAAATTGGAGGAGTCCATTTCCTGGGAGGGGGGAGGTCTTCTTACCTTGAGAAATTTAGTCCTTGCCTCTGATGTCCCAATCCCTAAGCCCTAAGGTCAGTGCAGAGTGAGAAGGTACTATAGACCCTGCACAACGGAAGCTCCTTTGGGAGGTTTAGCTCTGCAGCCAATCTCCATAGTGCTCCAAGGTTAACACCCCATGTTGAAGGGTAGGGGGCTCTGGTTACTCAGGGATACAAACAAACAGTAAGAAACTCTTCTGGAGCTGTGGGTGAAGCTAAGATTGCAACACAGGGTGGCTGTTAGGTGCTCCCCCACCTTCCCCATACCTGGTCCGGATTGGACTCTTCCCCTTCTACCTTCTCAGAGTAAGAACAGGCACCTGTGTTCTGAGCCAGCTTGAAGTTACACAACAGATTCATTTTAGAGGAAAAGCTTTGGAGTCCACATTTTTTTGGCTTGTAGAAATAACCTAAACTGTCAACTTCTCTAAGACACTGGCTGTCATATTAACAAGCAAGATGTATAAAAAGTAGCTGGGCAGGTTACAGATGACAGGTTATAATTTTTCTGTTTTGTTTTTGAGAAAGAGATTGACTATTGGGAAATTATCAGAGTTGAAATTCTCAAAGTGTCCAGATGAAAAATGCAACCTCTACATAATCAGGCCTATATACTTGAGAAATATCCTGCTCACATAACTCCTGCATTACTCTGCTCCGACCAAAAAAATAAATGTTACCTATAACCAATTCATGTACTACGTGACAGCGTCTCTCACTTCATTCTCACCCACTCTCGGGTAGAACTGCATCCTTTGGCCCCGCGGAACAATGGTGAATTGAGATCCCAGAGAATGAGAATGGGTGGAGAAACTGGTTCCCACTAGAAGGTAATAAAAAGCAACCCACCCAAACCTCATGCATCAAAGATTGGACTGTGGGAAGCTGAAAGTAGGATGCAATAGCTTCAACTAACAATTCTGGTGACCAAATGCTGTACTGATTAGAAATATGAGCATTTAAAAAAGTTTTCTTTTTTTTTTCTGGTGCTCATATCCAATTGTGTTTCCTGATGGGTCAGCAGGGGTGGCACTTTCCCCCTAGGGAATGAGAACTCTATTGACGTAACCACTTCTGGGATAAAGTAAGAACCTTTACATGTACGATTTTAAGCAGACCTATTTAATAGAGTGAATGAGCTGAAACGCTCAGGCACGAGACTGCTGAAAGTCAGAGAGGAAAAGGACACTAGGGAGGGATGGAAAGATGAGGACTCAAATAGGGACTTTAGACGACATAGCCATGTCCTTGTCAGCACCCAGGGAAACTCCTGTTTGCTCTTAAAATATTTCAACATTGCTGTCTCTTTGTAAATGTCTTCTGGGTACACTGGTTTCAAACCCAGAGGCAACATGAGCTAATGTTTAATGTGAACTGCAGACCTATGTTACCATAGCAGTTAGAACAGTGGCTACTGCATACTAAATTGGCTTTAGAGCAAGATGAAGTTTAACTTTCAAGAATGCATCACGATTTCTAGAGTTAGCAAGAAGTCAGGAAACAAAGCAGCCCTCTGAATTCCAAAGTGAATAGCAGCATCCTGGGGTGGAGAGGATATGGTGGTGGGTGGGTGCACGGGGCCAGGGTCCTGTGCAGAGAAATTCCAGGAGATTTCTGCAGCCTGGCCACCAATTCAGAGTGAGGGAAGCATCTGCAAGGCACCTCAGTTCGCATCTTGTGTGAGCCTCATATGACAGCCTTACTAAAAATCAGGGATCTCTTATATTTAATAATAAATCCTTTGATTTTTTTAAGCAGACAGGAAGCACACAGAGCAAAGTGGTTGGAAGCACAAGCATCAGAGTTGGCATCCCAGCTTTGCCCCTAACCTACTGTGCACCCGCTTCCTAACCTCGCTAGGCTGTGATTTCCTCATATGTAAAGCAGGCGAAATAACTAGCTACCTCACAGCATTGTTGTGGGAACTAAATGAGATCATTTAGGTATGAGGAGTGCGAAGCACAATGCTAGGACTCGGTAAGAGTTTGATGGAATGTTTTCTAATACTATAATTGTTACGCACCTTCTATGTATATATAACATGATTTTCTTCTAAGCAAAAAGAAATTTTCGTATTTGTTATGTTGCCTATCACTTTTCCCTCCACAGTAATCTGTGGTCTTCTTTTCACATCTACATAGAAAGATTTCATTTGTTAGCACTTGAATAGTATCCCACAATGAAGATGCACCATAAATTATTTAATCTTTCATTCCCCAGGGACTGAGTATCTCCAACTTCTCTAATTGATTAATATCACTATAACGCTGCAGTGAAGATATTCATTTATTGGCAAGCTCTTGTAAAAAATAAAATGCAAGGTCTTGACCCTTTTGAAATAGCCAAGAGCTGTCTCCTTTGTAATAAATTCTACCAGTTAGATGCTCTTCGACCTAGAGTTAAAATAGTAGCTTCAATCATCCCCTTCAGAGAAAACTGGCAGATTTTGCCAAAGAGGTAATTACTTAAGAGAACTGAACCCACAAGGACTTTGTAGCCCTAATTTGCCATCATAAACTCAAATTAAAGCCTCCCATACGCACGGACTGCTCTCCATTACGCATGAATTGTCCTAATGCCCCCAGCCCCACTGGTTACCTAAGCGCAAAAGAATGTGTCAAAGGCTCAGAGTTGGTCTCACGTTCACACAGCAACCTTCAACTCTGAAGCTTTGCTGACACGCCTCTAAAGAAGCTTGGCTTTGAAAGAGCCTCATTTTTAGTAAAACTGACCCCTAAAGAATCTCTAAATGTAAAATACCAAATGGAGGATGGTGTTTCCAATAAGCAGTGCATGCAAACCTCACTGACTAGCTTCATGAAGGAGCTCTGAGGGCAAGGCACCTGATTTTAGGTAACACCTTGCAGCAGAACTTATGTAACAGCTATTCTACAAAGGAGGAGAAGACATGTGCAAAGACAGTGGAAAGAGCAGAACCTGAGTTGAATTCCAAAGGAATTACAGGATTTTAAAAGGCAACAGGGACATAAGAAGGCTAGGGTGTGCATGGAGAAGGGTGGGCGCGGGGGGAAGGTAAGCTTCACCATCTAAGAAGACACAGCCAGAGCATTAGCTAGTTAATGCCAAGGAGCACTGTCCTGACTCCACCTGGGGTGTATGGGGATGGGGAGGCAGAAAGGTAGAGAGCTGAAAAGCCAGCCAAGTCAGGAGTTGGACTCAGAGCAGTAAGCAGCCCAGCTTACTCAATGTTTCTTTCTACCAGGAAGATGCAAGCTAAATTAGGGGAAGAAGATTCCAAAATCAGAAAAAAATAATTAAAACTTTTTTTTTGCTTTGATGCAGGAATAACAGGAGGAGGAACAGACTCTGAGACATTCATATAATATAGTACAAATCCAACTATGCATTGCCATTTTTCAAAAATTTGATTGTATCCCTTATTAGTAGGTTCATCCCTTCCCCCCAAATGTATAAACCCCAACTTCTGAGGCTTGAAATCCTAAGAAGTTATTTTAATTTCTGATTTTTTTTTTTACCATCCATATCCAATATCCTGCAAAACCTGTCATCAGCTCTTTTTCAGAGATGCTGAGGAATTCTCCCCCTCCATTTCCATGGACACATTCTTATCTTACATTTGAGCTGGGTACCAGCTGGACCCCTTCCACACTAATGCATCCTTCAGAGATGCCACATATACTAGGAACTTTAAACTTCCTGTTGATTAGTACCTGGAAAAATGAGCACTCTCTTATTCCAACTGCCCTCGGTCAGGGCGTGCAAACAAAATATTTACACAGAGGAAATTAAATCAATTGCCCCAAAATAATCTTACCCTGGAGCACCTTTCAGCAACCAACACATCAACCATAGTGTCACACAAAATGATAATGATGAACTGAGGCAACAGTCAGTGAAAGGGGCCAAAAGATAACATGTTACATAATGGCCTTTATATGAAGATGAAAACAAGATTTTATTTCATTTTTTCAAAGATTCATTTATTTATGCACACAAGAACTGGGGTGCAGGCCAGAGGTGTGGGGGGTGAGAGGATTCACCAGAGACAGAGTGGGGAACAGAACAGGCAGGTTGACTGAAATACACTGCTGAGGGGAGCAGTGAGAGAGTCAGGAGAGGTCTGCTGCGCCATGTGGGTCACCTCCCTGGCCTGGGATCGAACTTGTGCTGCAGTGGTTGTGGATAGCTTCGTAGGTTGCATCTTAACCTCTTGCACTACCAGGGAGGCCCAAAAACAAGATTTTAAAAACTTACTTTTTAGGAACATATAAAACCCCAATTAAGGATATAAACAGAAAAAGAAGGGAATGATATCAGTGAAAATGGTGGGGTCCTATCTTTCCACAAAAATCAATAACTTGGGAGAAAAAAAACCTGTCTGAACTAACTTTTGCAGAACTCTGGAATCCAGTCAAGAATGTACGGAAAACTTAATGGAGAGAGATGCTATCACATTGCAGCAGTAGAGCCCTGAGGCATTTTAATTGCCCACCTTGTCCCTCACTCCCCAAGTCAATGGTACCAGTGAAATCAGTAGCTCATGTTCCTGATGCAGGTTGTTAGCGCCTGAGGGCGCAAAACAAATCTTTTTGTCTAAGAATTTAGTTGTGCTTTTTGACATGCTCAGCTGCTCCCTGAAGTATTAGTACAAGGGCTTTTCTTTGTTTTGCCCACCTCAGAGCATTCCTAGACCCTCAGCAAAAGTGTAGGCCACAGTAGACTGAGACAAAGGATAGCATCTGAGACAAGCAATACATAGACCAAAGTCATGGAATGGAATAAGTTGGAAAAGAAATACATGGGTGGGGGGAAAGGGTGTTGTTGCTTTTATTTTTTAAATATTAAAGGAATCAAGAAGGTCCCAAGGGATCAAGAAGACCAAGTAGATGCCCAGG